CACGCGCGCACTCACGCGCAGACTCTCTCTCTCTCTCTCTCTTTCAGGTGACAGCACTCAGCAGCTTCAGATTCCTGTACTCTCGTCTACAGAACTAAAGGGGAATTCCACCCATCTTTCAAAATTCCCGCGTCAAAGTCATTCAGAGTGGTTTGCTCTGTTCTTATAAATATGGTTGTACAAGGGTTTTTTTTAAACAAAGGAAATGGTTCTATTTAAAACCATTTGCGTGTTTGAATGGTTCTTTGCATGGTGAAATGGTTCTTCAGATTGATGGAGAATGTGTTGTATATGGTTCTACATAGCACCAAAAAAGGGTTCTGCTATTGTTACAAGCTTGTCATTGTGGCAGTAGTAGAACCATTTTAGGTTCTATAAAGAACCATTCCCTTTACTAAAGAACACTCGAGGAGCCATCTGTTTTTAAAGGGTATAGAAACTTCGTGAGTCAGATTTCTTTACAGTGGTGCTGAGAGGAACCAGACAGAATAGCCCTCAACGAAACAATACTTTTTCAGGTTTATCACTATTTCACCACCAACATTCCACATAATAAAACTCCTATCACTCCTACATCACCACTGTGAAGAAAACAAAGTCTCTACAATGAGCCAATGAATAATGTAGAAATAAAAAAATAAAAAAAAAGAGGTAAAATCCTCTTTGATCAGATCTGTACAGTGCTGGGCTATTTAATTCAACATCACAATATCTTCCAAATGCATCAAAGATAATATAATTTAAGATAATATTTAAATGGACTACATTAAATTTTCAGTTGCAATTTTTTTAAACTAGCAGTCCAGAAAATCTCGTTGTATGCAAGTAGTGAGGTGCCGGGGCGCGCGCGTGAGAGAGAGAGAGAGAGAGAGAGAGAGAGAGAGAGAGAGAGAGAGAGAGAGAGAGAGAGAGAGAGAGAGAGAGAGAGAGAGAGAGGGGGATTGATTTAATTCTATTATAATTAAAATATATTGGGTGGCCTTAATATACAGTTCTACAGTAAACCTAAGTAAACTTTCCCTTCTTGTACATTTCCATCAGGTGCATGATGGGAAATAATCTGAAAAACCCACACCCTTCTCGAAAAATCTAACGTTGCAGTCTTTTAAATAGTGACCCTGCAAGACCCCCAGTCTTCACAAACTCACAGTCTGTAATTAAAAACTCAGTGACGTCATCTTTAGATGTGAGAGGGGTCAGAATTGAGTCCTTTAATGAGTCTCTTCAGAGTGCTGTCAGTCTTTTAGTGTCCGATTAGCAAAAAACCGCCTGTCGTGAATTCATTGTTTTTTGTGACGTCACCCAGAACCAGCTCATTTACATTCGCACGTCCATCAGCAGTTTAGCCCCGCCCACTCACGCTCAGGTTATGCTTAAATATATATTTACAATATTTATATAGAAAACCAACGTGTGTGTGTAGTTACAACAATATGATATATTTTAAGTCAAGTCAAATTCACTACTATTTGAGGATTAAACAGCCTTTCTGACATGTTGGGTTAATGTGAACATGGTGTCAGAGTGTGTTTCCGTTGTTTCAGTGCTTTGACTTTTCAGTATTAAAGATATTATGTTCTTAAACCTGTATGGTAGTTCAGATCAGTCATATCCTAATGTTTATTGATATACTGAGAGGGAGGGGAGGGGAAGGGATGTTTCAATTTTGAGATCAGATTAATTTTCAACATAAATAAATATAATTAACATAAATACATCTTTAATTAATGTGCAACGTTGTTTCAGTAATCCCAAGGCCTAGATCATTTTAATGACTTGATGACTACTGTAAACTCTGACTTTCCGAAAGGACAGAAGGAGAAGGAGCCAAAGAAATTTGTTTGGCTTGCATATGAAAAAATCTGTATTAAAAAGCATACATTAAAATACATCACATCCAGACAGGACAGGACATAATGAACACATCTATTTATATTTATTTGTACACATATAAACATATTTTATATATCTTGTATTTTTACTATGCACATATTTACTGCGATGGATTCATTAAATAAAGCTATAATGAACTCAAACACGAAAAAGCCTGGCAGGCAGTTTGTCTGTGCCCTTTTCTCCATGTTGTCCTTGCATATAGTCCCCACCATGGTTTGCTCTGCTGCATGGAGATGCTTCAACCGCTCGGAGAAAGGAGTGAAATGTTTGGTTTCTCCACTGACAGAGAGGAGAAAAAACTGCTGGCTCAAGTCAGCAGGAGCAATTATTAAATTTACCATCACTAAAGATTACAACAACAACGTGACACTGCATACGTTTCACAAACAAAAGCCACACCACTGGGAAGCTTAACGTTTTATTTATTAAAAATAAGGAACAGGTAAAGAATTGCAAAACCCAGGGAGCTGAGACTCAGGGTGCAGGGTGGGGGCGCTGTCTTATTGTAGGGAGTCTCTAGGCTGAGCAGAATCCCCCTGTGGTTCTTGCCATTAATCCAAAATCAACTAAACTGCAACATAATGTACAGATAACAGTCAACAGAATCACAAAGCCTGCAAACACTCAATCCATAAGTCTTATATTGGTTTACTCTTTAAAGTCTCCAATATGTGCTCTTAATCCACATCAGTAGTGACGTATCACGAAAATAGCTCTTTCTTTTTATTGTGTAACTCAGATTAGCTCGTACTCCAAAATAGATAACGATATTCTCATTTTATCTCCTCCCCTCTACAAGCTCTGCCCCAGTGTTATATTTAACTAATATTTAACTCCCACCCTGTGAAAAATCACGTTTAGAAGCCTTTTCTAAGATTCAACAATGGTGGATGAGACGACATTAAGAGCAGGGCTTTTACCATTACTATGCTGTTTATGGTTAACATTATGGGTTCCTAACTTTACTCAGTACCCCCGCCTGATCTGTTATCTGTTAATGTTCCTTAAATCTACTAATTTAATCAGGGATAATCCACTGACATACTTTAATATACATGTTTATTTAATTCAGATGTGCTTATTATATACAAACTGATTCTTTAAATGTCTTTTCCTTGTAAAGTGAATCACAACCGGCCTATTCTGCTGCAGCTCGGCCGCGCTGCTAGTATTTACTGCTAACTTCTGGAAACTATTGAGGGGCTCCACGATCCGCCATAGCTGTAAAAAATGGTCCACTGGCGTGAACGGAGCTGACCCTACTCTCTCTATACGGCTCTGATTGGAGTGAACGGAGCTGACCCTACTCTCTCTCTATACGGCTCTGATTGGAGTGAACGGAGCTGACCCTACTCTCTCTCTCTCTCTCTATACGGCTCTGATTGGAGTGAACGGAGCTGACCCTACTCTCTCTCTCTCTCTCTATACGGCTCTGATTGGAGTGAACGGAGCTGACCCTACTCTTTCTCTCTCTCTCTCTCTCTATACGGCTCTGATTGGAGTGAACGGAGCTGACCCTACTCTCTCTCTCTCTATACGGCTCTGATTGGAGTGAACGGAGCTGACCCTACTCTCTCTCTATAGGGCTCTGGTGAACACGACCTAATAATTCAGCCAATCAGTACAAGCTAATTTACATATATCAGTCTTAAAGGCCGCCCAGTAACATAAACAGCCTGTTTAATTCTAAAGGATAAAGAGATGTTGGAAAATGGTCATGGAGAAATGAATTTTGGTACATAAAATCACACAAATGTTATAAATGGACCTCGGGAAAAAAACAAAATACAAGAAGAATGTAGGATATGGGTCCTTTAATTTTGCCTCACAGAGGTTAATGGACTGCTGAGAGCTGTTACTCTATACTAACAGTATCTTGAACAGCTGATAGAGCCTGCTTTAAATTTGCTATTTTCTTTTATTTCGCTTCTCTTACTTAAATGTTAACCTCCAGAAACGAAACTTACCCTTTCTTTCCATTTTTGTTGGATTTTAGCTGCGTTGATAGCGTTAACAAAGTCTGAATCAAGAGTGGGATGTAGGGGGGGTTAGGACCACTTCAATTAAGACTTTAACCCTCACAAAACAAGTAAAGATAAAAGGATGTGCAGGATCCTAAAATTTGACTTCAAGTATTCTTAATATAAAACACTAAAATGTGTTTCTCCTCCCGTGTCAGAAATACATACTTAGCACGGTTTCGTACACCCCTACAGCGGACCATACCATTTCTTCACCGTTGACCCTCATTACATGTTTATTCACTGTGAGGAGAAAATGGCAGATGTCTAGCTAACCTAGTTAGCTAACCGTTGCCTAAGTAGGACTGTCTTAAGTGCCATATACATTAATTCCGACCAGCTGATTTATGTAATATTCCTTGAAAATATGCTGCTGCTATCTGCTAACATTAACTTAGCTCGCTAGCTAATATTTTTTTCTTGGTAAAAGTAGTTAGCTGCTATAGCTTTGCTAGTTTAAGGAAAACTCCACCGAATTTTTTTTTTTTTTTAAATCTGCATAATTAAATGGTTAAGATGTAAACAAAGTCATTCAGAGTGGTCTGGTGTGAAAATCTCCATTCTAGTGAAACTCACTGAGTCAGAACTGTTCACAGTGGTGGTGATAGGAACCAGACGTCCACCTCTAAAAGCTCCCTCACAGCAAGTAACGTTAACTACATGAAATGGTTTGAGAAGGTTTTGAGCTAAAACCTTCGCAAAACCTAATTCCATTCACAATACAGAGGTGCATGCAGGCTGTTGTGAGGCAACATAATCTCCAAAGATTATTTGTTCAGATTTATCACAACCATAAAAACGTTCCATATAAAAACTCAGGAGACCTGGGTTGGTTCACTGGTGGTTTAGTATAGTAAATAAAATGGCTATATTTGTGTTTTACACATGGTGACCCCTGGTTTCTATCACCACCACTGTAATCAGAGTCTCTAAATCTCAGCCACTGAATTATGCAGAAATTTCAAAAAGTGGTGGAATCCCCCTTTTAAAAAAGCCAACTCTACTACAAGAGCTCATACAAAATGCACTGCACATACATCTGCATTACAATCTGTTTAAACATGAAAAAGTCTGAATAATCACTTTACAATAGAGGCTTTTTAATCATAAGAATGCAGCAATCTTTTCGTCATACATGTCACACTTTCATGAGCAAATGCAATGCAGCTCCCAAAGTTCCCATACAGTAAATATTACTTGATGCATAAAAAAGATGCTTTTTTTTTTACAAACAGTCATGTTTTTAAAAGCACTAACAGTGACAGTATCAAACAGTTCAAGGTCAAATCTGTGCTTCTGGACATCTGAGGTCATGTACCGGTGTGGCGCACCTGGACTCTGAGCCAAGGGTCAGTGTTGGCTGCTGAGGGTGTTAATGTGTAAACTCGCTGGGAGTGAACGAATCACGTGTCTGCGCTCTCATCCCAGAGAGACAGACAGAAGCTGACTGTGTGGAGGCTCAGAGAAGCTCTGAAGAACCAGTTTCAGTAAAGCCCACATACGGCATAGAGACACACAGAGAGAAACTGGGTGGAGAGGTGAAGCTGGACTGCATGACAGGAAGCTGGAGAGCGCTGGTGTTAGAAGTAGCTCTGAAGCGGCTCTCCCAGGATCGTCTCCATCTCCTGAATGACTTTCTGGACCTGATGTTCAACCTCCTCACATTCATCTGGAACAAGACACGACATTATTTTAGATCATTCATATAAAACTATATAAGCAGACCAGTACTGTATATTGCAGCGCCTATCAGTCATATCCAGGTAGACAAAGAGACTGCACATGACCATATATCTGCGTACTTCTCAGCCTTCTGGCACAAAATACAACATAAATCTCAATATTCATGCATTTCCACCGAAATGGCACAAAAGAGAATCAGAAGAACACTATTTGGCGTTTATGTAATGTAATATGTCAACTTGATGTAAGCAAAGTTTTTCATAATGTTTACTGCAATAAATAACAGTATAATTATCTTAAAGAGACCGACATAATCAAGGTTTTCCACCAATGGCTGTTTTTCATTAAATTAACACCTGGATAAATGGTATTTTTTGCTAAATAATATATCTACGCTCAATATCTTTGCATACTTTTGTAGTTGCTATCATGCCCAAATAAAGAATTCCGTGTCTAAGCCATTTTTCTCTATCGGAAAAATATGAAAGTCATCGATATTGCGCCCTGTGTTAAACAAAAATATTCTACATAAATTTTTGGCCAAAATGTCACTGCTACCTCTGAATCATGAGTTGTTTGGCAGTCGTAATACAAATATGGCTACATATATACAGCAAGCAAGCTATACACTGAACATAATCTCACATAAAGGTCTACAGTTAAACTTCAACACTATATTGGTATTATATTCAATACTATATTCAAACACAAGCTACTCAGTCTAAGACTGCCAGAGCAACGTAACTACCATATTTGAGAAAGCTCACTGGTTTGTGTGGGGAATAATGGTGAGGTTCCCAGTCTTACGATGTCAGTTCAGTGTGCAGCTATGTTAGCTTGCAAGTAGCAAGTAGTATTTAGACTCCTGAACGACCTTGTAATTCAGAGGACTGGGTTACATTCAGGGGGAAAATGTACACGACATTATTTTTTGCGTAGACAAAAAAGACCTGGAGTTCTTTATTTGTGCGAACTACAACATGACAGTACATCCTTAGTGGTCTATGGTAGCAGTGGCACTCCTGCCTGAACAGGGAATCGAACCCCGATCTCCATTAGCCACTACGCTGTTCAACCAGTTTGACCATCGATTAAGGTTTTCATTTTGCCGAACAGGATTAATACACTTATACATGTGAGACAAGGAGGAATCATGAGACTCACTCTTAAAAAATGCTTCTTCAAGGGTTCTTTAGTAAAGGCAAAAGGTTCTATATAGAACCAAACACTTAAAGAACTATTTAATGCAAAAATGGTTCTTTGCATGGTCAAATGGCTCTTTTCTGTGATGGAAAACCAGTGCATGGTTCTTATACAACCCTTTTAAAATGGTTCTATATAGCACCAAAAAGGCTTACAAGCCAAAGAACCATTTTTCAGTACTGTAGAACCCATTTTACTAAGAGTGAACTGCCAGTTATTGTCACTGCAATGTGAACAATGTCACCATACTTCGTATTTTGAAAACGCTTGTATCTTCAATTTTGCCGTTTTTCAGCTTCTGATATACTCAGAAAAGCCTGTTGCCCTTTACATCGTACATTTCATGAAGAATGGACCAAAACAAACGGCCCAAATTGACTTGGAAAAAAGTCTGGTTCCATTGACTTACATTAAAAGTAAAGAAGGTTTTTTCCTTCTCCTGTAAAGTTATTATTTTGGAGATACAAGTTTCAGTTTTTTTCCAACAACAGCAATTTATTAAATTAAGATACTTCGCCCAACACAAACGTGTAGCTTACCTTCCATGAGCTCAGCCAGGAAGGGGATGGTCTCTGGCAAGAGCACCATGTAGTTCTCTTTCAGTTTGCCTGCCAGCTCCAGTAGCATCAGCAGAGCGGAGAAACGCACCTGCGCCAAAGAACACACAAACATCAAATCAGCCCCTTTTCACTATTTGGCATCCAGTACATCCAACCAAGTTCCGACAGTAAGATCAACAGTGACAGCACCAGCTCCTCCTTGAGGAAAGTGAGCGCTGCAGTAGAGCGTTCTGATGTTTTCTTGCCCCTTCAGAAGTTTTACCTTGGGTGAGCTGTGGCGAGTCTTCAGCAGGATCTGGTAGTTGAGAACTTTCCACTGGGAGTCGTCTCCCATCGCAACAGAGAACTGAGCCACACACCGAACCAGATGCTGTGTGACTCGGGTCTGGTAGACCTGCTCTCCTCCCAGCATGTTCTCCACCTGCCAAAGGACCACATGTGAGAGTGCTTCAGTCAAGTGAATTTAATAGCAGCTAAGGCAGAAGAGGAGGACACTGAAGGGTCCAGCAGGATCTAAACAGCATATCTGGTCCTATAAACGACATCCAAGACTTTCCAAAACAGCAACAAGGCTTAAGGCCACCACACACTGGTCGCGTCGTCACATAGCAAAGCACTGCTGAATGCTGGCAGAGATCATTTGTACAAACTGAATGAAATAAAACTCTTAGCATCATTTATCATGCTTGGCATCAGTTTACTGTCACAAAATCACTGGCTGTGTTTACCTGCAAAGACTTCTACATTTCAATTATAGATTAAGACAGATGTTTATATGCACGCAACAACGTGATGGGAAACCTCCGTTTACATGACATCACGTGAGTCCAGTCAGAGTGAGATGAGCAGCAGTGAGCAGTGCTTGTGTTTTTAATTGCTTTAAAATGATGTCAGACTCAGGAAAACGTCCTTCACATGTCCTTATTAAAGAAGGCCGAGAGGAAGACGTCGTGTTCTGCGACACATAAGCTGGACGTCCGTCCCACCGCCGTCTTTTAAAGATCAGAGCATAAACTTTGTCTCCTCTGCAGACCAGTTTCTGCTCCGCCATGTTGAACGGTATAAACTTTCACTATGACGCGACGAACATGATCAGAACGTACTTAAACTTTTCGATAGGGAATGTAATCAGATACAGGTGTTTACATGGTTATTATCCTTCTATTTAACAGATTATTTACAGGATTACCCACCTCGTTCAATCGGATAGAAATTGTATTCCAAAAGGCCTCAATCAGACTAGTTTATTCCAATCGAGGTGTTTACATGGACACATTCTATTCCGATTGAACTATTAGTCGGATTATTAAGAGATTATTAGGCTGCAAGTAAACGTGGCTACTGTTTTGGAGCTGAGAAATATGAGGCAAAATAAAAGGCTAGACTCTCACGTTACATGTAGCTACATGTTATCTACAGGTCTTCAGTCTCAACATGGTTTTAATGGAATGTAGTAAAGGTGACATGCTGAGTGGCGCGCTGAGATACTGAACAGAGCTCAGAGTCGACGCAGAATGTTGGCACTGGTGCACACACCTCCATTAAAAACTATGGCTTTGTGGACACAGTTTTTTCTTTTTCCTTTAAAAACTAGTACCATTACTTTATACTTAGCCAATTTTAACTGAAGCCCTTCATACATTGATTATCAAAAAGTAGCCTATGAGGCTGAAACTACTCAATCATGCTATTAATCTCACAGAAAGAACTAACATCATCTCGTCCCACAGTGTGAGTGAGTGCTGTTTCAGGACACATTTGTTACAGGATGCACAATGAATGTTCTTGACTAAACTGGCTGTTGTACCCACCTGATCCACCAGGGGGCCCAGGAGAGCATCGGCTCTCTCCTTGCTGAGGAAGTGCTGTGTGTCGTATAGGAAGATTTTATGCAGGCAGTCCAGCATGTACTGCAGCAGCAGGCAGCTTTTCGGCACGTTGTCTTCATCCTCCTCCTCCTCGGAGTCAAAGAAGGCCTCATCTGTGAAGGAGACGTGCAGGGAAAGGATGGAAAAATCATGGACACTGACAAATCATCTCTCATCTCCATCGAGACATTCTAGCTATTTATAGAACAAGGGAAGACAGTTCCATCAGCACAGGGACCTTACAGAGCCTTCAGTGTTATGACCAATCACAGACGTCGCACGGGAACTTTTACAATGTCATACAGCTGGTATCCAACTCTGTGGTGGGGTGAAGTCGATATCTTCCACTAATAAACTTTAACAGCATTGCTGTTAAAATGTTTACAGTAATGTTTCCCCAAAAAATGCTAATGAGGTTCAAGTCAGCCCCCATTTAAAGTGGCCCACCACTTGCTTTATTATTACATAAGCATATGTACTGGAGAAAGGCTGGCTGAATAAAAGCGTCACATTTACCAGTCTGGGCGGAGTTGAGTTGGCGGAGCAGGTCCGAGAAGGGTTTCACCAGCTGACCAGCAAACAGCACAAACAAGCCCTTCAGCCGGTCAGCGATGCTGTCGGCCAGCCTGCAGAAGGTCAGCATACGGTCCTTAGCTGCTCCTTCTGTTTTACTCCAGTCAAACAGCTGTCAAAAGAGGAAGGCGGTTAGATCCCATACTTTCAAAGGCTATTTGCTGTTTGGAATATCAGCACTACCAAGCACAGTAAATAAAGTGATAGTAATAAAGTGTTTATACAGCACTGACAGTATTTTAGACAAAGAAGCCCAATGGTCTAACCCAGATGATGTGGATGTGGCTTTAGAATGATTGCTGTGCACTAGCAGGGCTCTATACGTACACTTTATTTCAATTAGCAGTATGTGTTCTTTGAGGTTTAGGGCAAAGTCAGAAATTTTGAGTCAAAGAGACTGAGAAGGCTATCGGATTGGATGAGCTAAGTGTCAGAAAACACCTCGTCAAAATAAAAAGAAATGAAATGCTAATAACTGCTGATTTCAGAACTGACAGCACATTTTCTTGTGCACTGAAAGGCTGAGAAGCAGTCAGGATTACCACAAAAACCTTTTCTATAAAGGCTTCAAAACCAAACAAATATATATTTCTTTTTTATACAGATACACAAGAACAAATACATATTCTTGTATCACTTTAATTTTTTGTTTAGATATTAAATAAGGTGGCGTCAGACATGGCGGGTTGTATTTAGTTTAAAATAAGGTTGTTCTTGCTTTGGTTGAGAGTAGCTCGGCACCAGGTTCTTAGTTGGTCTGGGACTCTTATTTTGTAGGACTCTGGGGGGTGTAAGGTAGCGATCTTCAGTAGCACAGCTGGCTAGCAGAAAAACAGTAAAGCCAGAGCAGCCTGTGTGCTGCATATTTTCCCCTTTGCTGCAGCTGTTTTGAGTTGAATTTCCATTAAAGCTGAGTTATGGGGACATTGTAAGGTTTCTGAGTATGTTTTGTAGTTGCCATTATCACAGAAACTCATTTATCGCGATAACGATAAAAATGCATTATCGTTATCGGGATAAATAAAAAAAATAAATAAATAAATTTATCGTGCAGCCCTAATGGCTGTTAAAGCAAATTTAATACAACCCAGCCTTTAGTAGGCTACAATAACAGTAGCATATAGGCTAATTTAAGCTTTAGCCATTTTAGATGCAATATATAGGCTGTAAAAGAAGGATTTTACCAAACCATATTGGGCAAGGTCAGCTTAGCAAGTTAACAAGTTTCTGACCAGAAACACATTTTCTCCGGTTTAAGCACGTCACCTTATGGCATTATGCAGTGGCACTTACGGATGGCTGTGGCATCGCCAGGTATCAAACTCTCAAATTTCTGACCTTAGATGGCAACACTACTTCAATGCCCCGCGAATGAGTTTTAATCAGGTATCAGAAGTCAACCTAACCATCATCACGCTCGCACATACAAATCTGATACTAATTTTCATTCGGAAATGAAATGGCCGCACAGTAGAGCTCTGGTTAGGGCTCTAGGGCTGTGGGATTTCCTCTCACCTTGAAGAACAGGGGTCTGAATGTGACCTCCGAGAGCTTCATAACCATCGCCAACAGGCAGTCTATGACATAACCCTCGATCTCCGCAGTCTTCTCCAGATCCCCCTGTCCAAACACACCAGACAGTCATGTTCACATATCAGACCACCTTTATACTCACTAGGATTATTATAGGTTATTACACGTCCTACATAAGTTAAAACGACTGAAATTATGTTCGGCAGGGTTTTACCTGGCAGTGCTTGCTTCGGAAGTCGAGAGATGAGAGGAAGAAAGAGGTGAGCTCTGATTGGTGGGAGGTGAGCTGCTCCTTCTCCAGGTGACCAATGTGCTCTTTCAGGATGTTCATCAGAGGACCGATACGATTCTGAACCAGCGAAGAGGACAAACACAACCTTTCAAGACTTGACTGGATTTAACTTGACTCTCTAATATAATTATGTATTAAAATACATGTTTTTAACTAAAGATCAACATCTCTGGAAACTTTCATCCAAGCCCGATTTTCAGATTAAAGGACATCATGATGTCTTCTTATGCTACAAAATCTGAGGTCCTTCCTTTTCTCCTTGCGCTCTATAACCACACACACCTGCTGGGAGTCCACCATGCTGCCGTAGCACTTGGCGAGGGTGGGCAGTAGGACCCTGGGGGGCACTCTGGTTGCAAGAGTTGAGCTGAGGGAGGAGAGTCTGACAGCCAGTTGAGGGCAGGAGGAGAGCCGCTCAGCAACTCGAACCAGACGTGTCACCTGTTCCGAAACAGCGAGAGTCAAGAGACCCTGTTACAGTATTACTGTACGCAAGCATAAACAGGCTAATACAGAAACACAGGTTACAATCTGATTCATTCCAACAGGAAACCATGTATCCAAGGCCCAATCCTATTTCTTATTTTTACCCCTACCCATTTTCGAGTGTCACTTTGCCCCTTAGAACTGAGTTATAAGGGGTAGTGGCTGAAATCTTCCTCTATGAAATGGGACCCCCAAATAAAAAGAGCATCACTCCATTAACAGCTACTAGCGCCGCTCTGTAGGCGACCCTGCCAGTCTGCAGTGACAGCAGAGGAGGGTAAAGTTCAGCTCCTCACTGCTGGGCTTCAGTTACATTTAGGGCATCATATACCTTCAAAGAGGGCTGCTGCACCATTTAAAGTGGAATGAGAAGTTTAGCTAGCTAGCTACGGAGACATCAGCTCTACTAGCGATTTTATATGCTTGTTATGAAGAAAAGGACCATAATACATTGAAAAGACATTAAACTAAGATAAAACAGTGGTTAGCGTAATTTTTTAATCAGCCAAAAATTCTCACATTTGTGGGTTTCTCTGGTTGCTTGCACAGCCGTCTAGCCCTAACACTTCGCCCTACCCCTGTATCTCAACAAACATCGGGACACCCTACCCCTAGGCATGAATGCACAAAACGGAGGAATAATGATTAACGGTAGGGGCGAGGGGTGAAATGGGATTGAGCCCAAGTCAATTTTCATGTTGCTGGCGGAAAAGCCACTACGGGGCCTCCAGAAATAATGACATCTAAACAGGGCTGTGTACTGAAAAGATTCAAACTAAAAATACTGTCTGACTCTGCTCTACGTTCTGTAGATCAGCTGGTAGTGTATTAAATCACATACGCCTAAAACACAGATAAACAAAACCAGACCTTCAGGCACGGATTCCCACTTTGCTGGCCATTCGCAATAAACATTAAAGTCTTCTGTGTTTTTATTTTTATTCATAACAACGTATTTTCTCTTTGGAATATTCAAATAACTATTCAAAAAGCAAAAAAAACAATCATGCCCAACTGGATGACAGGGTTACAGTACTCATCTCTTACTCCAGTGCCTCAGGAAAAAAGGCCCAGTAGAACAAATCAACCCTGAGCTTTTGGTGGAAAAAACACAAGCGAGGCCTAAAAGTATCAGCTTGCACACTCTGTGTATCTCACCTGTAATATGGTAGCTTCAAGGTAAGGGCTGATGAAGTGAGGGAGCGTTTCTGCAGTCCTCTGCAGGGCTGTGACTGCACTCAGCAGGTACACCTCATTAGACAGCAGATCTTTGCGCTCCTGTAGGGTTTGCAGGATCGCTGGCATCAACCTGGCATTGACATGTCCACAAATTCAGCATCAACTCACAGGCATTGAGTACATGTTCAATGACACCTCGTAAGACTGAGCATGCAAACTTCCGGACTTTTAAAGGCGCATCCAGATGAGCAAAACTACTCTCTGGACCTTTATGGAGAAAGGAGTATTTGGATCTCTGTACCTGTGTATCTGTGGGATGGCGAGGGCCTTCAGTGTGCTGGTAACTTCAGCTACACACAGGAGTGCACTTCCCATGACGTTCCTCTCCTCCTCAGGGTTCGCCACCAGCTCCACCATCCTGCTCAGCACCGGCAGGAACGCCTCCTCGTGGCCGGCGCCAAAACTACGGCACAGCAGCTTCAGGCTGTAGATGGCCGTCTGCCTGTTGATGGCCTGCTCCTCTTCTTCCTGACCTCCGGCCTGGACACTGCCACGGCCCACGATGACCAGGAGGTCACCGGTAAGTTCCAGCAGCACAGCCACCTGGGACAGAGAAAGAGGAGAGGGCCGTCAGTCAAGAGTGCGTGAATTTATTCCAGTAAGAACTGAAACATAATTCAGCATTCATACACTATATGGACAGAAGTATTGGGACACACGCCTCAGTCATTAAATCAAGGTGTTTGATTCAGTCTCATTACCACAGGTGTATAAAATCAAGCACCTAGCCGTGCAGCCTGCCTTTACAAACAATTGTGAAAGAATAGGTCGTTCTAAAGAGCTCACTGAATTCGAGCATGGTTCTGTAATAGGATGCCACCGTTGCAACAAGTCAGTTCACAAGATATTCTATGATCAACTGTGAGTGGTATTGACAAGTGGAAGCGCTTAGGAACCACAGCAACTCAGCCACGAGTTACAGAGCGGGTCACCGAATGCTGAGGAGCAGAGTGATAAAAGTCACCAACGCTCTGCTGACTCAATAACTGCAGAGTTTAAACCTCCTCAAGCCTTACATCACCAAGCACAATGCCAGGCGTTGGATGGAGTGCCACCACTGGACTCAAAGGGGGGCAGACTCCATATTAATGCCTATGGATTTAGAATGGGGGTATCATAAAATCTCCTGTAGGTGTAATGTGTAGATGTCCCAATACTTTTGGCCACATAGTGTATCTCCTGGCCTAAGATGATTTTCAAAGGTCTAACTAATGGTGAGTGAACGCCACAACGAGCATGCAGATGTGCACCTGCTGCTCCTCCCATTTCCTCCTCTGCTGTAGTCTGTTGTTGAGCAGCTCCATCGCCTTCCTCCTCACCGATGCCAGCTGATTACCCATCAGCCCACGCACCACCGTGATGAAGGTGTCGGTGGGCAGGAGTGCGTTGACCTTCAGAAATTAAAAAAATAATAAAAAATACACATTAATCCTCGGTTTACTTGAGATAGCAGACGTTTTAGAACAAGTCAACGCTGCATCTGTATGTTTTGGAGTATAGATAAATAAATCACAGATCTGCAACATGACAATATTTTATCGTTATTTACAATAAACTTTATTAGCATGATAAACAATATGCTTTTCTGAGCGTGTCATGGATATCGCCAGTAATTAAAAACTGACCACCTGCATGTTTCATTAAAAACAGAGAACAATCAGTCTGGTGTAACTGGATTTAGTGCATTAGTCTGTGAAACACTAAACATCAATGTATTCATAATTTTATAGCGATTTTTAAATGTGGCTTGACTAGTGCATTGCATGTGTGTCAAAATATCACAATACGTATCATACATCGTAAAAAACTCTTCACCCGCACATCCACTTGCTGTTTTAGTTTATGTTGCATGCAAACGTTTTGGTCTGTCTGGTCAAATTGCATATTTTTTGTATTTTCTACAGAGAACACACTTCTGCATATTTTTAATCTACAATCTTATATTCTGTTTTATTTTTCTCCCCAGTAAATAAATAGAAGTTGTGAACTAAAATTTGCAGGAAAATGCCGTATTTAGGTGTGTAGAGGATGTTATTTTCACAACAAAACGTAATTTGTGCAGCTCAAACATAAAACCAGTGTTCACACTGAAAATGAACTAGTTCAAAGTTCAGTTCATACTAATGAAAATGAACCAGTTCATGTTCATTTGTTTGTTTTCTTAATAAACAGGCCACTATTAGTGTTCAATAGAACCTCTTTCTACCATCCATCACCAGCCCAAAATCATTGCTACTCATACACTAAATGAATTATTCTATACCACTGAACATGAGTTACATTTAAAACATCGGTACACTGGTTTTTAATGTTGAGACTGAGAATATATTTTAACACTTAAACAATGTATCATATTATTCTGACAATGAAAAAGTACACAGTATATGAAAGTGTTATGTAGACTATATTAACCTATGCAGAAGTTCAAAACCACAAAATGGATTCATTCTGATTAATGGAAAAATAAAACAGGCTCTGATTGGGAAAAAAGCCTCCAGAATAACCTGTACTGCCGTTACCGTGACAACACCAGACAAAAACTGTAATGTAAACAAAGGTACCGGCTGAAAGAGCAATATTCAGCCATCTTTTAACCTCTTTAACTCCTTGGGACCACCGGTGGTTCCAAAACGCATTTCGTCATATTCTTCATAATTTTCATATTTCATAATCAACATTGAAAAGGTGGGGGTCATGAGAGCTGTAACTGTCTTCTTTGATGGGAGCTTTTACCCAAAAATAAAAATTTACATTTATTTCATGCAGTTACTGAATAATTTGCCTTACGATTTGGAAATGTAAATTCAGATAGAAAAACTAAACATACCCTGGAGAATAAGAGGTCAATGACCTCTGAAAAACCATAAAACTGTTTCAAATGCTCAAACAAACTGACTCCTGCAGTGACGTCTCTACCGCTAGCACCAGACGTGCTCGGCTGTGTTTATGGAAACGCCTCGTGCGAGTGAACGCTGCTCGCGTCACGTTCGTTATTTGTAAACTGATTCGTCCAGTTCAGCATACACAAAAAATATGAACGTGTTCAATCAACGCTGTGAGGTGGTCCTACCTTGTCCAGGACGTCATAGGACTTCGTGAGCAGAGCCCTCCAGAACTTGGCTGTGGGTTTGTCTGCGTTCTCCTCCACACACTGAGCCACAGTGTGAATGTAGCGCAAGTTCTCCTCCAACAGACTGGACACATATCAAAACATGAAGCCATCGACAATCACCCATCAAAATGAAGACCATTCACAATCAACAACACGGGGGCTTCAGACTCACCTTTGCTGAAGTTCCTGTAAAGAGTTTTCAGTCAGATCCTCACAGTCAGCCACCTGAATCAGAATCGGATACGAGTGTTTAGTGTTCCTGTTTAAACCGTCTCTATATGACACCACAATGATAAAGACGTGATAAATAAAGGTTTTCCTTGTGAAGAGACCACTGACCTTTCCCACGAAGCTGCTGGAGGCCAGTAGCTGGGCCATGAAGGACACGGAGAGGAATTTGAAATGCCGGAGCTCCTTTCCGCTGTGGGTCTCCACGCTGAAGATCAGCTGAGACACGTTTTCCTCCTTCTTCTCTCTTCTCAGTCCTCTCGTCCTTTTCTTCTCTGGGACTGCAAGAAAGACGACATGGAAGAAAAATGGCTTAGGTATTCGTACAAATACAGGAGGCCAACAGTGACCAGGCATCACGTGCAACAAGTAAACCAGGCCTACATTAGATTTTACATGTAATGTTGATGGCAAAATAGTGGACAATCTGCGTTTACAGGCATTAAAGGCTCCAAATACATGACATTTAAAACATTAATATAGCAGCAAACAGCCATTTTCCATGTAAAGACGTGAAGTAACAGTGTGATGAGCAGAGAATGAAGCCACACCCCTCCGCACGTGCATGTTAGTCCCGCCTTCTGAAAACCTCGGTCCTCTCCACGTTTTGTTTTGCCCTCCCCAGACAGTGACCGGCCACACAGCATTGTGCATGCACCATTTAAGGTGGAATGGGAAAATTAACAAGAAGCAGAGGCGCCGGAATGTGGTCTTAACTTCCGCACATTTGAAGGTGGAACGGGAAAATTCCGATAAGAAGATGAGGTGCCAGGATGTAGTCTAGCTCCTCCACCTTTTAAGGTGGAACGGGAACATTTGAACAAGTAGCTGAGGCAACAGAATGCAGTTTTAACTTCTGCACCTTTTAAGGTGGAATGGGAAAGTTCGAACAAGAAGCTGAGGTGCCTGAATATAGTCTAGCTGCTGCACCTTTTAAGGTGGAACCAGTAAGAAGCTGAGGCGCCAGAATGTAGTCTTAACTTCCGCACCTTTTAAGGTGGAACGGGAAAATTCCAGTAAAAAGCTGAGATGCCAGGATGTAGTCTAGCTGCTCCACCTTTTAAGGTGGAACGGGAACATTTGAACAAGTAGCTGAGGCAAAAGAATGCAGTTTTAACTTCTGCACCTTTTAAGGTGGAATGGGAAAGTTCGAACAAGAGGCTGAGGCTGCTGAATGTGATCTTAACTTCTGCACCTTTTTAGGTGGAACGGGAAAATTGGAACAATAAGCTGATGAAAAACAAACTGACTTCAGCTTCACTGAGAGTTGAAATGCATGAAAAGGGATGAGGAGGTCGCTCCTGCTGGACAGGTGGGTAGCATTAACTTATTTTTGCTGTTTCACAGAATCAGCAGATCAGTTTTGTTTTGTCCTGTTTGCAATTGTTTGTGAAAGCAACTGGTTAACATTAGATTCACAGCAGAAACTGTAGCGACAGTTTGCTAACCCACAACCTGGCTAATGTTCGGTACATTACTTGCTGTGTCACTGTTCACTCTAACATTATGTAATATTATTTATTGTAATATTATTTTGTCTGTACAACAGTTGTGAAGGGTTTTATGGCCACAAAGATCATTTGCCTCGACAGTGCATGTCTATGAATTTAAGAGGCGGAGCTTGTGAAGGAGCACTGAAGGGAGGGGTGTATTTGTTTTGCTGATAAGTTCAAATATCAACATTCATTCTCCAGAATCATATAGTGCGCCTTTAAACTCTTTAGATGTCTGGTTCCTATCGTCACCACTGTGAAGAACTCTGACTCAATACATTTCTCTAGAACTGAGCATCTCAACGTCGACCACAGAATGACGACATGACAGGTTTACATAAAAACATGGCCCTTAATATCAGCACAGAGGGCTTTCTGATGATGCACTGGTTAAGCCCTATTTAGTGCATAATGTGGCTCCTACCTTCCTCTTTGTCCTGTGGCAGAGTCATAAGGAACTGCAGGATCTTAATAAAAGAGGTGAGCTGCTCATGAACTTCAAACCCACAACACACCAAGATCCAGAACTCCAGATCCCGCTCCAGAGCTGCCTCCTGAAACACACAGCAAAACCATCAACACACAAAGACATACTAAGCCACAACAAGCAAGTTTCCTGAGATGAGTAAAAGACCTCAAGTCCTTTGGAGCAAATCACAACAGAGAGGATTCCTCACCAAAAGGTTTGCAGTTTACATCTCTTAGGCCTTATTTTTAACATTAGACTGGGGTGTGTCCTTCAGTTTTGCACCCATTATATTGGATTGCACTTGTTTACTGTGGACTGGCGGACACGCAGAGCTGTAGCAAATTCAGTGCACTGAAGAATCTTGAACCTTAAATACTGAAAGTCTCCAAGTTGTCAACTTAAAGCAGGGGTGTCTAAACTGTTTTCCGAAGAGGGCCAGATTGAACCATGTCAAAATACGTGACGGCCAAAATTTTATTCTTGAAAGATTCAAAATATTATGTTTTTACATATAACAAATACGATTATGAAAAGCAATTAATCAAACCAAGCGTCCTGCTGGCGGTCCAATCTGAGAATTTGGTGACGACCCCTTAAACACGTGCGTGTTCACACTGGTCAGTGAAACGCATCAGCATGTAAAGTCAGAGCTTTCTGTGAGCTACTGTGTTTCCCATCACTGTGTAAAAGACGCACGAGGCTTATTTTATTGTTGGAGTGCTCATTCAGAGTAATTTTGATTGGGAAGTGCTTTAAAAATGACTGATTTAAGCAGAGTAACAATAAAACATGTTTTAAATATATTCATATTGAACTGTTTACTTGTTCAGAAATTTAATTTGTGAGACAAGCTTAATAAAAACATTTCAATTTTCATGTTCTTTACATATCAATTCAGTACAGCAACAACATTCAGAAATAACTTAGTAAAACGAGAGGAACAAATTTAAACAGCATGAACAGGTACTTTCTTGTTCGGCCTTAAAGGGTTAAAGATTACAGAACTATCGAATTTGCCGTGATAAGAATTTGGTGCTGTGAGACTCTGGTAGCTGCAGCTGCTTTAGTTTCTCTGCCCTCCCCTGAATATTTATCATAATGTCCAGGCTTTGTTTCATGAGTATTAATATTGAATTCATTACAGTCTTTTGACATGAGGCACAAGCATTTTCTGTGGCTCTCGATGAAAAAATATTTGTAAAAATCTTTCTAAAAGTTTGTGCTTTATAGTCTCGAGTAACTGTGGTTCGTTAAATGAAGCTGCAGGTCTAGTCAGAGAAGAAAGGCTCAAACTTCGCTACCACAATCCAGTGCATTACACTGTAATTATACCCCACTGCTGCCACCATCAGAAGAAAGGAAGAACTGCAAAGTATTAGCTGGAGGGCCACTTATAACACACTCTGCAACAGAAGCCACGGGCCAGTTAAAACAGCAGACTGCATCTGGCCCTGGACACCAGACCTTGGACACCCCTGGTCTGAAATAAACCTTTAAGGAATCCCCCCTCTAAACTACTCAGTCTAAGGTTGCAGAAAAGCTGCCCCCCCGGCTGCACTGTTTACCTTCTCAGCTCCGGCGGTGCTGAGGCTGGTGTGCTGTTTGAACAGGAGCAGCAGGAGGACCCAGAGGAAGCGGGACGGCCCCAGCGTATCCAGCAGCTGCTTGAGGATGGGTAGGCGCCGGTGCTCGGGCACGTGTGGAAGAGCGTCGACGAAAACTTGCACAATACGGGTCACCACGGCCTCCATCTGACCCTCCGACTGAGTTCCTGTGCCCTCATGAGCCTTGTGAAGGAGAAGAGGAGCAGATAAGGGATGGTCAGTGTCAACATCAAGCTAACAACAGATTTTGCTGGCCTTCACCTGTTTAATCCATAGAACTTATTAAATATTACAAAAAGAGCAGATCTAAATGTCCTTTTGGCTACACTACACTGTCTTTTCTTGCACATTCATTTTGTCTCCAGCATACCAGGTAAAAAACTTCTACTTTAACTCAGCTATAGCTGCTTTTCTCGCATCTCCAGCAGGAAACTTTTCCACAAAAGTTGAACAGTTTCTTGTAAAATTTGTCTCAGTGTTCAACTTTTTACGAGGCTGAAGTCGCTTCTCATTCAAATTTTCCTATTCCACCTTAAATGGTGCCTGAGGCGCCAGAACTGCTGCTCTATTTAAGGTGGAATGGGAAAATTCTAACAAGAAACTGCCTTCAGCTCTGTGACTTTTTTAGTGTTTGACACTAAACCAGATGGAGTAATTATAATTGCAATTAAGTCAATATGTCTCCAAATTATTAATGTTAATCCTTAATCTTTCTCTTTGCCGTTGTTAGCTACTAAGCTAGGCGAGATTGTTGCGTTGCTTTGGTGACCAGCAGACTGTGCGGCAACCTTCAGGGGTTAAGGATGAATTAGCAGTTCTACATTAACTCCAGCGTTTAAGACCATTTATTGATAAAACTGTGTTGAACGATCAGCAGAGCTTTATTTTACTGTAAAGGAGGATTATTTTATTTTTACCTACAAATCTGATTCTGCTGTGAAGCCACAACAGGACAATAAAAGAGCCACATGTTGTTGACCCCTGGTCTAGTTTTTAAACATCCCATGGTACGTTTCTCTGTATCATATTAATAATCAAAAAAACACATCAGTCTCGCTGGTGTACACACACTACTCTAACAAATGCTTCTTAACTTACTGATCTGCCTGTAGCCTACATTCCCAAGCAATGGAATGAAATCTGGATTTTAGGGTCATTATTATGGAAATCAGGCCTCTTTTTTTAAAAAACCCAACCAAAGCTTAAAACGTACACGGATGAGGGCAGGGATGACAGTCTGTACAGTCCTGCTGATGACCTGGAAGCTGTAGGTGTCGTCAAGACGCATGATGTTGGCTCCCATAAAGGTGAAGATGGGCATGATGTTGTGCAGAACTTTCTCCTGAACAATAAAGAAATGGTAACTGTTAGAAATCTGGGAAACTTTACACAAACATATAAACTCAAACGCAGGTGTTACTCACGGGGAAGATTCCAGCCACAGTGCCCAGCAGCAGCAGCGCGTGGTGGTGAGTCTGAGGCATGCTGGACGTCCTCACGCACTGCACCACCAGCTCCACACTGAACTTATCTTCATCCAAGACATCTGCATCAGGAAAACACAATCTTTATTAGCTCGAGCGGTTTTATCGCGATGTTAACAGTCTTATAATAATAATAAAAATAATGATAATAATGTAAATGTGCCTTTCAGACATCAAAGACAGTACAGACTTTAAGAAAGAAATAAAAATATGCATATGAATAAGAAAATAATAAAACAAGAGATGCATATACAAACCATAAATAAATAAATGTGTATAACAGGAGGAAAAAAGTTCTCATTTATTCTGTAAACCTCCACTATTTAAGTTTTGGGGATTTGGAGACCTCTCTGGTGGAAATGTGTAATTGCATGCAATGTATGGAACAACATGTTTTAACATGGGTTAACATGGGTTGTGCTTCCGACTCAACTTCCGAGTGGATAAATCTGTTGATTGTGAGCGCGTTGAAAGAGAATTCAAAGGGAACTTGGTGAAGGATGTGTCTTCTGAGAATGTGAGTGAATTATCTACTATTGTCATCATATCTTCATTTTGAGCTAATTTAAGATCTAAACATTGAGCCGGACTTTCTTTTTGAGCCTGTACGAGTCACCATATTTTTGCTTGTTTTTATTCTTTTGACTCAGTAATGACACACTGTATGGACAAAAGTATTGGGACACCTACACATTACACCTACAGGAGCTTTCATGACAGCCCATTTTAAATCCATAGGCATTAATATGGAGTTGGTCCCCCTTTGCAGCTATAACAGCTTCCACTCTTCTGGGAAGCTTTCTACAAGATGTTGGAGTGTCTGTGGGAATTTTTGCCCATTCATTCAGAAGAGCTTTTGTGAGGTCAGATGCTGATGTTGGACGAAAGGCTCTGCCTCAAAATCTCTGTTCTAGTTCATCCCAAAGGTGTTTGATGTCATAACTTTATGGACCTTGCTTTGTGTGCTGGGGCTCAGTCATGCTAGAACAGAAAAGGTTCTTCCTCAAGCTGTTCACACAAAGTTGGAAGTGTATAATTGTCCAAAATGTCTTGGTGCTGAAGCATTAAGATTTCCCTTCAGTGGAACTAAAGGTTCTAGACCAACCCCTGAAAAACAGCCCCATATCATCATCCCTCCTCCACCAAACTTTACAGCTGGCACAGTGCAGTCAGGCAGGTAACGTTCTCCTGGCATTCGCCAAACCCAGACTCGTCCATCAGACTGACAGATAGAGAAGTGTGAGGTGGCATGCTTTACGTTTTAGTCGGACATAAAACGACTTCAGATTCGATATAAAACGATTCTAGAGGTGGAAAGGCTGTGTTCTGTGACCTGTGTTTCGATGTGTGTTGGTAGTAAACTGTTTACCTTTGCTGATGGGTCCTCCCTGTGGTGAGAGCTTCTGGCAAATGTTGAGGAGGACACTGAGGAGGAGCTGTTTGGTGTACTCCACATTCTCCTGCTCCGCCGACGCCTCTAAACACCTGCAACACAGAAACAGCAAACGCTTCAGTAAAACCTTCGACTGAATCGCTGAACATCTGACTACAGACGGGGAAAACTGGCACCACTGCTGCGTCCACATCAGACTATCATGAGGAACAATTACATTAAACACAGAAACAAATGTCTTTCATCTTTAAAAGAACACTGATATACCAAAACCCTAATGGAGAACATCTGCATCAGGAAAACAATCTCTATTAGCCTGAGTGATTTCATCATCGCAGTGTTAACAGTCTTTTAATAACAATAATAATAATAATAATAATAATAATAATAATAATATAGAGTGCCTTTCAGAGATCAAAGACTATGTACAGACTATGACAAAGAAATAATAACAAAATTTACATATAAATAAGAAAAGCATAAAACAACAGATGCACATACAAACCATACACTAAGAAATGTGTATAACAGGAGGAAAAAAATGTTTCACGTTTTCATTAAAGCAGCACTATGTAAGTTTTGGGGATTTGGAGACCTCTCTGGTGGAAATGTGTAATTGCATACAATGTACAGAACAACATTTTGTAACACTGGTCGTGCTTCGGACCCCTTCCTGAGTGGATGAATCTGATGATTGTGAACGTAACACGGTTTGAACAGTACTAAGAACAAACACTTGGTTTTAGTTGATCGCAATGAACGATTTAAATGTCAGAAAACATGCTGCCTGCATTTGTCTCAAACTGCCTTTTCCTTCATTTTGTAGCCCAGCTGTATCAGTCCAATACATGTAGCAGAGCAAGGCACCACATTTTTTGTAACATGGTAGCCTGTTTCTAGCAGGCAGAATTTCAAGAAAATAAGTCATTTTTGACATATTAAGTAAAAATTTACTTATTTTCTTGAAATGTTTACTTAATATGTCAAAAATGACTTATTTTCTTAATTTTTTTGACTGTCATTTTTGACATAGTAAGCAAAGATTTCAAGAAAATAAGTCATTATTTTTGACATAGACAAATTATTTACTTAATATGTCAAAAATAATGACTTATTTTCTTGAAATCTTTACTTATGTCAAAAATAATGACTTATTTTCTTGAAATTTTTACTTAAGTCATTTTACATACTATGTCAGAATTATTTTTGACATATAAAGTAAAACTTTCAAGAAAATAAGTCATTATATTGATACAAAAATGTGACCCTCCAACATAAGTCAAATTTTTTTTACATACTGCTGCCAGAAAGTGGGGGCTGATTTTATTTTTTCTTACATGGCATAAGTGGCCTTTCATACTTAACCGATCGAAGCTGCGCTGTAGCCTACAGTAAACTTTAGCCACATTATTTAAACAGAAGGTGTTTTACAGGCTGTTTGGGTTGACTTACAGAACTCTTCGTATTACTGTAGCTCTGAGTGACTCCACAGGCTTGTTGTAGGAGGAAAGTCATAATTAGCCAGATCTCATACCTGGAGAGAAGGCTGAAAAGTGCTGGCACCAACATCTGAGGCCTCTTCAGCTTCTTCTTGTGCTGCAGGAGCTCCAGGATCAGGGTGACTCTGGGCCAGGACACAGCGCTCTCCTCTGGTGGGACATCCTGTGCTTTCCTTTGGGAGGAAAAATAGATATTAATGTGTTGGTGCAGTCCTATAAACATGGCTTTGGCCAGCCAACATCAGTGCTGACTCCTTACTTGGGCTGCACTTTGCTCCTGCGAGTTTGCTGTATGCTTCCGGTCACTCTGGGCTTGTCCACGGGAGTCAGTTCATTAGCCACCAGCTCTGCATCCACAGCGATCTACAACAGACGCAGTCATGCAGTCTTTACACATCAACAGAAACAGTGCGGCCTTTACAGACAAACAGTACGGAGCATCACAAAGAGCCAAAGTGGAGAACAACTGCCCACTCACCCCTTTGAAGACACTGCTGATGGTTTGGGAGCTGGCTGGGTTTTTGCTGTCCACCAGCAGGTCAAACAGCACTCCCAGAATCCTCTGCTGGATCTTCTCATCACCCAGCGCCGCAAAGAAGGGCTTATTGATCTGTGTTGAGAAGAAACACAGTCACTCATCCTGATTCATTATAAGGAATGGTTAGTAATTTAATTCATTCTTATTATACTAAGTCAACAATCTGAGTTAATAAGTTAAAATTTTGGGAAAATAAGTAATTATTTTAAGATAAAAAGGCAAATGTTCAAGAAAACAAGTCATAATTTTGAGATCTATTATATCAGATTTACTGACATATTATGATTTGCACTGTTGCTTAAAAAAACATTCCATCAAATTCTTAAAGGTGAACTCCATCATTTTTGAAAAATTCCTGCATAGCGGTTGAGATGTAAACAAAGTCATTCAGAGTGGTTTGGTGTGAAAAGCTCCAGTCAAGAGAGATTTACAGAGTCATAATTGTTCACAGTGGCAGTAATGGGAACCAGACGTCCACTTCTAAAAGCTCCCTCTCAGAAAAAAAACACATCAAATGGTTATAATTATGCTATAATTGTGTTGTAGCCATGGTGACCCCTGGTTCCATTCACCACCACTGTGAAGAAATCTGAGTCTCTACGATCAACCATTTCACACCAAACCACTCTGAATGACTCTGTTTACATCTCAACCACTGAATTAAGCAGAAATGAATTTGTCCTATGAGAAAATTACTTGTTTCTCATGTGCTGTGGTCATGTTTTAACCAAAGCACTGACCGTTGGCATATCCTCTTTAATTCAGCACCAAAAAATATATATCTATATATATACATACTAGATGAAATTTGTGTATTGTCACACCACTAACATTCAAAAAAAAATTGCACAAGGTGTACTTCAGGGGCAGCAGTGAGTCTGGACTGGTGTAAGTGTGCCCACCTGCTCCAGGGTGATGATCTGGAAGCTGGCGATGTGAGGATAGGACCGGGAGGAGGTGCGCAGAGCCGTGACGAAGAGCTCCAGGCTGCGGGAGTCGCGGGACAGCAGCGCTGCGGACGCCTCGTTATACTTTTCCAGCAACAGCTGCAGGAACAGAGCCTCGTCCGGCAGGAAGACCGACGAGTCCAGAGCAAACTGCTCCAGCAGACGCTCCGCAGCAGGCAGGAGGACGGACAGCACCGACTGGGGAGGGCAGGACAGAGAGAGAGAGAGAGAGAGTGAGAGACAGACAGAGAGGGAGAGAGATTGGGAAGGGGTGCGTGAGGAAAGGTGTTGGTTGGGGGACGAGAGACAGAGAAATAAAAAGAGGGATTGGAGAGAGAGAGAGAGAAGGTAAGCAAAGAAGGTAAGAGACGTGCTTCAGTTCATTTGGAGCATTTTTTCTTGTTTAAAAATCATGATTATTGATCATGTAGAAACACTCCCATGTGGCCTAAGCCTGTCTTTGGTGTTTTTCCTATACTTTTTTACAATGAACTGATTAGGAAAATCAATTATTGAATAACACTGGGCAATGAAACTTTGTGTAAAACACAACTTTAATGACTGCAAACAACTTCGTTTGTGAGTTCCTGCTAGTGTGGGTTTCCTCTCTTTAATGATGCACACAAAAGCAGCATGTAATGTATGGTTAAGAGTGGTCCTGATTGGAAAAGTTCCTGATTGGTTCATCCCTAAACAACAACAACAACTACAATCATTACTATCATAATCTAATATTTCTTCACAAATAAAGTAAATTGCTTATAGACTATGGTTGTTTTGTTCAGCATGGAAGATCATCGTATTTCAAAGATCAGTATTGAGTCACTCATCAGTGACATCTGATTACATCACCCATCGCCCAACCTGAGTGTGTGCATCTGTCTGTCTGGCTGACTGACCTCTCCGTTGACGTTCCTCAGCGCTCGCAGCAGCACTTTAGCCATGTAGCTGGGACAGTCAGGAGCCTGAACACACTGCAGGAGCTGCTCTACAGCCAACAGCAGCTTGTTTCTGCCCTTCACAGTCACAGTCACAGCCTCCTCGTACAGCCTGGACAGAGCCTGCGTCCACAAACACACACAGTCAATACAAACACAACACACACTGCCGACATACAGCAGACAAGGTTTTCTGCAAAAACACAGCGTGGGCCGCTGCTTTAGAGAAATTATAGCATATGGTGACTGTAAGCTGATGGTGGTGAGTGACCTGGCTCAGGTACGCGGGGTCAGCGATCAGCTCCTCAGCCGCACTGAGCAGTTTCTCCATCAAAGGGCTGTATGGGGAGGAGGTGACTCTGGCGAGGGTCTGAAACACAGCCAGCGCAGCTCTCCTCACCTCCCCCACCCCGCAGCTCAGACACGCCAGCAGGGACGGCACAACTGAGGGAGGAGAGAGGAGTTTCAGGTTCAGCGACATATATATGTATGAGAAATGATTAAACAGCTAAAACCCTTGTACTGTAGCATAATTAGAACAGCACATAAACATAACTATTTTCTGAAATGCAAAGAACCATTTAAGTCCCATGTGTCAAACACAAGGCCTGTGGGCCGAGTCAGGCCCGTGACACAGTCCTGTCCGGCCCGCAAAATTATTTTAATTATCTATTATTATTAGACTGTTTCACCCTGAGATGCACTACAGTTCCCAGCATGCACTGCAACATAGTGTATATCTGACTCCCTTCCCCAACAACAATCTACAGGCCAAAAAGAAAAGATGTGGTTCAAGCACAAAAAGGCAGTTTAAAAAAAAAAAAAACTACGTAAACTATTTTTCTTTAGAATTATTTTTTTTAAAAAGTACCTACTTTCCTGTTGCAGTTTCGTAATATTTTGAAAAACAAACAAACAAACAAACAAACAATAGCCCATTTGGGTCATGGCAAACTCAAAATGAGATAAAAACACAGCTGGCCCACAGATTTGCTGACATTTTTTTATATGGCCCTTTTAGTGGTTGAGTTTGACACCCCTGATTTATGTAGTTAAACGGCTCTTTAAGGTGTTGTGGTTCTATTTACAAACGGCGCTATTGTACCTGGTGAGGAGGCGGAGGCCAGCAGGCTGAGCTTTTTTGAAGGAACGGTGGTCAGCAGTGCCTTGGCCACGTACAGGGCGCGAGTCTGCAGCAGGGCAGACACGCGGACCTCCAGCTGGTCACCCAGATTATTGCTGTAACACCACAGCAGTGACAGGAACTTAAAGAGATGCTCCGGCTCACTCAGGTGCTCCTGAAAACCATCACAGACAGCAGAGAAGGAACGTTTAAAGGCTTTCCCATTATTACCCATTATATCACCTATTATCTGAATTATTTCAAATAAATAAGTCAAGCTATTGTGTTACTACCCTTAACATTATATCATACATAAAAAAAAAAATAATAATAATTGGAATCATATCGGTATTGGCTTTAAAAAATAACAGCAATGGACAGTTTACATGCCGTTTTTCAAAACAATAATTGATGAACTAAATAAGTATTTATCGCACTGAAGAGCCGGACATTACTGGGTTACTGCAATAAAATATCAGCATTTTATTCATTTTACTGCATTTATTTCATACAAATGTTTATGCATCGTCGTCAGCAGATGTGTACATGAAAAATATTGGGTATGAGCGTCGGCCCATAGTTCTCATGTTGGTGCATCTCTACAAAAAGGATCATTTTCTCTGTAAACAGCTCATAAATAAAGTGGGCTGCTGTTGTGGTACCTGTAACAGGAGCTGCATGAGGGCCCTAAAGCAGGAGGCCAGCGGTCCTTGACCGGCCCCTGACACCACCACATCAAACACACGGCACAGCAGCTGCAGGTAACAGCACGTACTCGTGTCCAGCTTCTCTGGGTTCCACCAGCGGTCACCTGAAAGAACACAGCACACGTCAGAATCAGACCTGAAACGGCCACCTTCTGGTCATCAGGGCTGCTGTCTGGGGCCAAACTACGTTTCTCCATAGAGGTAAACGCAAAAGACAAAAACGCAACCAAGGATCTGAACTGGATCGAGCCTAATTGATTTTAAAGGTATGAATTGAGCCTTAAGATAAAAATACTGAATAATTATAAAAATAATAATAATAATAATAATAATAATTGCAGCCCTACCACTCACTATCAGCTAAAAGATTGGAAGAGACGGTAAGAAACTTTGAGATGCTTTTACAGAAAAAAAATTCTGCATAATTCTGTGGCAAAGATGTAAACCCTCATTCAGAGTGGTTTGGTGTGAAATGGTTCATTGTTTTATTTTAAAAATATACATTTTAACATATTTCTCCACGGCTCTGAAATCTGTGATAGTGTTAGTCATAATGGAACCAAAGTTTAGCAAACAGCGTTTTATAGACAAACAGAAAACAATACATCTTGAAGTCTGGAAGGCTCACAAAGGCCGAGTCCCATTTCCTTCATTTTGGGAACACTTTATTTGGATAGTCCACTTTAGATGGTTTGTAGATACTTTATTTACTTTCAAGCTACATCCAACTAAATATCTACTAAATTGACCATTTTCTAAAACTCTAAACCTGGTCCAAATCCTAACCTTAACCTGTGCAAGTGACCAAAGAAACCCAAAAAATTATGATAATTATTGTATTATCTTAGTTTAATGTTGTTTCAGTGTATTAAGGTCCTTTTCTTCATAACAAGCATAAAACATTGTCAGTAGTGCTGATGGCACTTCAGGCCTCAGAACTGCTGTTCCATTTAAGGTGGAACTGGAAAATTCAAACAAGAAGCTGGAGAATAAGAGTATCACTGAAGAATTAGGGGTGGGCGATAATAAATAATTGCCCCCTCTTTGAAGGCATATGATGCCCTAAATGTAACTAAAGCCCAGCAGTGAGGAGCTGAACTTTACCCTCCTCTGCTGTCACTGCAGACTGGCAGGGTCGCCTACAGAGCAGCGCTAGTAGCTGTTAATGAAGTGATGTTCTCTTTTTTTGGGAGTCCCATTTCAGAGGGAAGATTTCAACCACTACCCTGTAACTCAGTTCCAAGGGGCAAAGTGACACTCAAAAACAGAAAAAGGGGACGGATGGCCCAGTGGGATGGGGAGGGCTGCTTGATTAACATAATATAAAATAAAAAAATAATAACAAAAATAAAAAATAAAAATATAAAAAACGAATAAAAAAAAATAAAATCACTTAGCAACTTCACATTTACACAAACTACATATTTGTAATGAACTTCTAAACACGTCTCTGATTATTTCCCCGTTTACATAATCACAGCGCTCTCCTTCAGTGCGTGACTCCGGTTACCTTTGAACGAGGACTCGGGGCATTTGAGAGCGCTGATGAAGACCCGGAGGAGAGCGAGGAGGAGGAGGCCGTGCTCCCTCTCTGCGTTCTGTCCGGCGCGTAGTTTGGACAGGAAGCCTCCGAGCACCTCGTACACGGGCAGAATCACCACGTCCTGACCTTCACACAGCTGGAGAAGGTCATACATACAACATACATATCAGTATTTTATTTATTATTGACCCAAAAAACAGCACGAAGATTGTGCAACTCTCAATATAGTGTTTTACAGTTTCTTATTAGGCTCATTCACATTTCTGTCAATGCTGTTTAATTGCACAGTCAGTTGACCTTAAGCCTTCATTCATTATTAAAGGAGAATTCCACCCATTTTTCAAAATTCACAATATCTTCAAAGTATATCTAGCCATTTTATTTACTATCCAAAACCAGTAGTGAACCTTTATGTGTCTTCTGAGTTTTTACATGGAATGTTGATGATACAATCTACAGAAATAAGCTTTCTCTGGTGACTATTTAGCCTCACAAAGCCCTACATTAGTTAGGCATAATTTTTTCAAAACTATCCTAAAACAATATCTTGGGCATCAGGCAGCAAATTCATGACCATTTTCATGTAATAACCTTCTGTGAGGGAGTTTTTTAGTGGTGGACGTCTGGTTCCTATCACCACCATGAAAACAAATCAGACTAAGTTCGTCTAGAAATGAGCATTTCACTCCAAACCACTCTGAACGACTCTGTTTACATCTTAACCATTTAATTACACACACATTCTGAAAAAACAGTGGAATTTCCCCTTTAAGCATTTCTATACGTCAGTGTAGTGACCTGTGCTGTGTCCAGCTGTTTCAGCGCGGGTTCCAGCAGGCCGAAGAGCTTCTGGGCCGTGTGGAGATGTTGGCTTTCACTCAGAGAGTCCAGAGCCTGGAGCAGAGTGTGACTCAGCACCACGAATGAAGCCCTTTCTCGAACACCAGTGCCCTGCCTGCCCAGCAGTGCACACACACTCTCAATCTGACCACAGAGACACAGACAAGCACATAATTCATTCAGAGAAAGATCTCATCTGGATCTGGTCACAGAAACAAGGTCAGTGTAACACGAGAGACTCTGAACCGCCTGACCGCTCGGTGTTATGAGTGCGATTCTTACGGCGTTGCGTTTGTCTGACGGCTCCATGCTGGACAGGTTTTTGGTCAGAGTGCTGATGAGCACCTGGGTGGCCACTCCCACGACATCAGCAGGGGGAGTTTTCTGCAGAATGTCTTTCAGCACTGTGGAGAGACAATACAGACACAGAACCTCAATACGTTACTGATCACCAACCTGACTGTAAAGGCCTGTAGGTCTCAGTATGATATACATGTCCCATACTATTGAAACAAGTTGCTTAAACCAAGCAAAATACTTTATTTACTATTAACAACTGAACCGAACAGCCAAATAAACACATCTGTTTCAGGGACACAGTTACTGCGTCATCTTCGTTGTCGCCATGTCAACCAAGTTAGCCAACTAGCTTTAGTTAGTCACAATCGAACATTTTCTGTGGTGAAGAGTTATGATGCTAGCTAAGCTAATGCTCACCAGCTACTCATTCCGAGTTAGCAGCACTGTTTAAAGTCAGCCCAAACATTACCAGCAACAGGGGTTCAACATTTGCTTTCGTCCACCAAAACATCTTAACATTACATGTAACATACACAACTTGTTTTGTCTTTTAAAACTGGATTTGGGCGTTTTAGTAGTGGAATGTGGTAAAAAACTTAATATTTAAGTTTTAACCCTAAGATTCCTTATTTGTACTTGTTTTCGGGCCCACGGCCCACCACAAACATTGCACATTGGACCCTCCTTCCCAAAAAGTTTGAGGACCTCTGTGTGTTCCTTTAGTCCACAAAGTGCAAAGTCCATGTAAAGAAACAATAAGACAATGCTATTATCTTTGCTGCTAAAGCTAGCTAAAACAGGCTAATAAAATCCTCAAAAAAAAAAATGATTAATAATTTTCTGTACACTGGTTAAAAGTTGAAATATGGCAAAAAAAAAAAGTAAAGAAAACAAAATTTGTGATGCACACTGGAAAGCTGCAAGTCCTCTCTGTCAGAGAAAGCGAAAACAGACTGTGTTTGCTTGTACCGTCACTCCAGCCCTGCGTCAGAGGATGTTTGGTCAGCAGGTGCGTCTCAGACACGCACAGCGTCAGCTGCATCTCTGTGGACTCCAGCTCTGGATTGGTCACCAGCAGGAAGGGCAGCAGCTCCCAGCTAATCCGGGCCCTCAGGTCAGCGCTGACCTCACTAAGGCGCGAATCACTGAGCGTTCGGACCGCCTCCTTCAGCGCCACACACCTGCAGGGACAGCAGTATTTACAGATTTTACACACTGTAAAGAGGCTGTAGTTACTTATTTCATCCTGCAGAGGGCGCACCATGTAAATTCCAGCTTCACCAATACATTCCTATTTATTCATAACGGTTGGCTTTTTAACCATTTTTGCTATTCAGATATCAGCATTTTTAGCATTAAAATATCCCGACAAGAAAACATTTGACACTGTTATAAACAAAATTATTAAAATATTTATCACTGATTTTTTTTTTTTTACTCATTCAGGTCACTAAGAGAGCAGGTGATCTGCACACACCGAAAAATGATGTTGCCTCAAAGGTTCGTTAGTAAAGAAAATGGTTCTATATGGAACCATGAACACTCAAAGAACCCTTAGCATGATTAAATGGTTCTTTAGATTGATGGAGAACGTGCTGCATATATGTGCTCTGTATAGAACCTTTCTGAAAAGGGTGCTATATAGCACCAAAAAGGGTTCTTCTGTTGTTACGATGTCAAGCTTGTACCAACAGAAGAACCCTTTTTGGTTCATGGCACCCTTTTCAAAAAGGTTCGATATAGAACAATATACACATTCTCCGTCAATCTGAAGAACCCTTTCATGACACAAAGAACCCTTTAATCAGACTACGGGTTCTCTGAGTGTTCATGGTTCTATATAGAACCATTTTCCCTTGAAGAACCATAATTTTTAAGTGAGTGCCATAGTTTAGTGAGTTATCAGGTGTATAGAAGACTACAGAATGACACTGAAATGCTATGAAATACTTCAATAAACTGTACACAATTTTTTTGTCTGAAATGTTCTCATATATTGCTCTGTACATGACCAGTTGGCTTACAGTAACGCATAATCAGCTGATTGTGTTCCCTCATTCTCTGCAGTTTTATAACGTGGTCAATCAGAAACACACGATTTACTTAAAACTTAGCACTTAACGTAAAGGGTGATTCAAAAAGATTCATCCGATTTCAAAGCGCCATGTTTTCTCAACTGTGTGGCGCCGAGGAACCAATTACAATCCAACTGAAAGAGGGGGTCATAGAGTTCCTGACTGTCATCAGAAGATGGCTCCCTTCAGCCTGAGAGGAGATGAGACCCCTGAGCAGAAAGCGTTCTGCGTTCTCCACTTCAATAAGAGTGAATCCGTCATAACTGTGCAACGTGATTCCGGTAGTGTAGTGATTCGTCGGTAGTGAACCTCCAACAGCTCAGAGCGTTCGTCGTTGGTTTCACAAACACTGGATGATCTCCGAAATCGGACTGAAAGAGCCGTGAGTGCAGCGACACCCGACATGCTCAATCGAGTACGAGATGAATTTGACTATGGCGTTGATGTCTGTACAGCTGGAGGAGGTTCATATTGAGCATTTGTTAAATTACATAATAAACTTTATGCTCATTTAAACCATTTACAGTTTACTGTATTGTTCTGTAATGATTTACAAGTGAAATAAATCATTTTGAAATTGGATTAATCTTTTTGAATCACCCTGTATAATTATGTAGTACTTTATGCTGTAACTGTGAAGGATGATCAATGTAAGACTTCCATTTTGTCACAGCTTTAACGAAACCTAGTGTCTGCAAAATGAAGATGGAAATAAATTTTTGTCATTTTGGACCATTTCGATTGGTCCATTCATCACAAAAGGACAGCTAATGCAGTAGTAGACAGTATTTTGGTTGAAATTCTTCCTCAGATTTAAGTTTTTTACATAACTATTACACTGGTATTCCACAAATATGCGCAGATAATGTGACGTGCAAACAGTACAAACTACGCTAATGTTAGCCCGTTTAGTTGAGTGTCTGAGTCAGGGATGTTTCAATCAAGTTTCAAATGAGAATGAAGCTGACCCTTAATTACTTTTCGCTGTCTAGTCTACTTCAAATGAAACAGTCCACTTTTTTCCAAGGCAGTGGAGGTAAGCTGCATCAGACGACGCACAGTCTCAGGGCCTTGTGCACAATTGTTTTGTCAGCTGGTACTGAGGAGTGAATGACAGTACTCTGATGGTCATATGCAGTGCATGTATGAGACAAAAGACTTCAGAAATTCAGCTAAAGCTCCCACTTTGAATTCCCCATTCCACCTTAAGTGATACAGCAGTTACACTGAAGCACCTGTACAAGAGCCTGAATGTAACTGCTCCTCCATCTGAGGTGGAACAGGACAAATCGAACAAAAACCTGCAGAATAAGAACTTCAGCTTTGTAGAGATTCAGGCGTGAAAGAACATTTAGCACTGAGGGTTATTCAAATTAGGTACAAAATAAAACAGAAAAAGATTAAAAACCCCTTTTAAAGATGTCAAAAACGCACCAGCGTGCAGAGTCCGATGGCTTGATCCGATGAAGAAGAGAAATCAAACTGGATACTGTGCTCTCTGGATCCATCTGATCAACGTACAGCTGGTGACCCATAATCAGAAAACATTTAATCAGTGATGATGAGCAAGAGAAGAAGGAAAAGTTCACCAGTCTTCAAAACCTCCAGAGAAAATTCACCTTTTCACAGTAAGAACTTATTAGGGAATTCCTTAATTTTCAGAACTGTTCACAGTGGTGGTGATAGGAACCAGATGTCCACCTCAAAAAGCTCCCTCATAGAAAGTTATTACACGAAATGGTTATGAATTCACTGCCTGATGTCTGAGACAATGATTTACATTTAGATTTTTATCAACATTCCATTTAAACACTCAGAAGACACATGTAGGTCCACTGGTGGTTTTGGATTGTAAATAAAATGGCTACATCTGTGTTGTAGACGTGGTGACCCCTGGTTCCATTCACCTCCACTGTAAAGAAATCTCTCTACAATCAACCATTTCACACCAAACCACTCCGAATTACTGTTTACATCTCAATCACTGAATTACGCATAAATAAAAGTGTTTATTTTTAGATTTAAGCTGGTAGAATGGTGTGATTTTTTTTTGTGGTGACTATTTTATATTCCTTAAAATAACGTGTTCTTTAGACTGTTCATGTTCCAGTGGCAGCAGTAGACGAGCACCTGCAGGGCTGAGAGCGCAGACAGGACGACCTCAGGAGCATCATCCTTTATCCTCTCCAGCAGAGCGTCCTTCAGGAAGGCCTCGTCAAACCCCTCCTGCACATACATGATTAACTTTATTTATTAGCTTTTTATACTATGAAATAGTTGTTAAAAACAAATTTGCTTCAGGTTCAGACTAGGCCTGCACGTTTAAATTTTAATTTTCCTTGATAAACACACTTAACAGCCGCTATAATCAAATTATACTATACTACATAAATACTGGCAACCCTAGTAAAAAAAATCTGATAAATATATATATGGTTCCCTGGCAATACTGGGGATTGGTTTAAACTTTCAGGCCTGAATAAAACTCTAATACAACTTGCGGATCCAGAGCCGCAGGAGTCTCTTTTACTGCCCTGTTCTGGCTCCACAGCAGAATCAGATTTTTAAGTAAAAATACAGTCCTAAACGCTGGAGTTGAAGTATAACTGCTAATTTACCCTTTAACCCTGAAGGCTGGCGCGCAGACTGCACCATAGCAACACAGACAACAATCTTGCCTTGCCGCTAACGAAAATGAATAATTTGGAGCCAAATGGACTTATCTGTGTTTATAATCACTCCAGCTGGTTTCCTGATACATTTAATCTGCAGTGAGAAAGTCTCAGACGCTAAAGACGCTGAAGTCAGCTCCTTGTTCAATTTTTTCCGTTCTACCTTAAATGGTACAGCATTTACGTTCTGGCAACATTTAAGGTGGAACGGGAAAATTCGAACAAGAAGCTGGTGAATGAGAAGCGACTTTAGCCTCGTAAAAACTAACGTTGGGAAACATTTTACAAGAAACTGTAAAATAAGTTAATATTATATTATACGTTAATATTAGATTTTTCAGCCTATATTGGTACATTAGCACATACTGAGACAGATTTACAGCCAAGATGGTAAAACGGACATAAAAGTTTTGAAAGGCTCTTCTTCAAATTTGGGTTGCCGACCCCTGCTCTAGCAGGAGTGATAACATACCGGTCTTGTAGCGAGAATGTTTTTCAAGTGGTCCAGAGCCAAGTTCCTCACAGAGGACAGCGGGTGGTTAAGACTGAGCATCAGAGACGTGTCTGAATCTGCCAGCACCTAAACACACAAACATACCGGTCACCATGATGATCCAACTCAACATTCAGTTTAACATGAGACTTTCACTGTGACGACTTTGAGAACACCTCAAACATCTCTTACAAGAGATGGTTCAATGTCCTTTGAACCACGGTGCTTCTGAAAACCGCATTAAAACTTTCATGGCGTAAAGACCAGCCATCGTAAACTGCAATAAGAGAAAACATCTGAAAACAGCTTCTCGGCCTACCCGGTATTTGCCGCAGCTCATGGTGAGAGAGAGGAACTGGTGGAGAAGGTCCTTCTGCTGATCTGTGGTCAGCTCACTAACACGAGCCTCCAGAACAGCATCCAGAGCTCCAGGATACCTACAACATGACAGACTCGTATCTTGGAAAGCCAAATTTTTCTCACTTTTATGAAATAAAATGGACGGCATGCACACAATGTTAGCTTCGTGCACCATTCACTCCCCAGTCCATATATCGACTCTCCAAAGTATCTCCAAATTACTAACTTTACAGGAGAGGGCAAACACGTTTTTTACTTTCAATGCAAGTTAATGGAAAAAGATTTTATTCCAAGCAATTTTGCACCATTTCTATTGGTCCACTCATCATTAAATTATCACACAACGTAAAGGACAGCTGCTAAGCTCAAATGATGCAGTAAAGTAAAAATCGCAAAAAAAAAATGGAGATACATGTTTTTGATTGGACAGCGGCAATATGCAAACTGTAGTCTGTTTTGAACTCGTGTGATGTCATTGAAGCATTTACAATGGAGAGGATCTAAACAAAATACAGCGGTTTAGCTTCACCCGTTCACACTGGAGTTATAAGGAGTGTTGCATTTTGAATGAGGCACAATACAGAGGAGCCAATTAGAAGAGAGGGAATTTACAGATATCAGCCTTAAAGGCACAGTAACAAAATCAGCCTGTTAAATTCTAAGGGATAAAGAGAAAAAAAAAAAACGTAGAAATATATGAGCCCTTTAAAACTTGACCCTAGATAAGGCCTAGAGAAGAAACTCACTTGTGCTCAAAGAGCCTGACGACTGGCTGGATCTTCTGGTTGAGGGAGGACATTCTGTCTGAGCCGAGCTCTGCACCACAGGACACATATTCCTCCAGCAGAAGCCTGCAAAGACCAATCAGAAGTGAAAAAACATTCACAAAATAAAAAAGTGCAACACTCAACAAGCTCAGGTGGAGCAGACAGCAGATGGTGTACATTTGTAACTGTAACCCTTAATGTGATCAGTGATTAGGAGCTAAAACGGCGTTCACCTTGCCGCTGAGCTCTCCAGGCCGCTGGTGAGAGGAAGCATCTGGAGGACCGACTCCAGCAGCCGGTCATGTGGGGCGCTGTCCAGACCCTCTTCCTGCAACTCTGTACAGACACAGAACAATGTCAAACTACCTGCTACTGCCTTCACTTAGCCATCCATTTAAAGCAAACTTAATTAAAAACAGTAGTGCATTCTGATTACCATTAAAACTGCACTCCACTAGGGGCACTCAAACAGCTACTGTGTGCATCATTGAAAGGGAGGAAACCCACACCAGCAGGGTCTCACCAAGGCACTGATGTTTGCAGTAACAAATTGGGTATATATTAAGCAAATAAATACTAACTATGTACTTGATAAAGTGCTTTCAGGTAAGCTCTGTAGATGGGGTTTAGCCAACAGGCTAACAGGCTCCTCCAATAACATTCCGAGTTAGGATTAAAGTTGAAATATTAACTGAAAAACTGTAAAATTACTATAAGTAAAAAGTGTTTAGGCCTACCACACATAGCACTAAACCTAGTGTAGTAAAGTGAGTGTACACAATCATTAGCTTGGTGCTAACCTAACACAACAAATTCCATAGAAATTAGCATTATGATAGTAATGTGAATGGGATAAAATCTACTTGTAAGATGAAGGTTTCTGCATTAAACAATACTATATAACGGAATGTGAGGTTGTCGTTCATTATAAGCATAAGGCCTCCTAGTTTATCTTCCATTTCTATTAAGTCTGTTTGGCCTTTTTTCTATAACTTTTAATAATATAAACAATACGGTCAGCCTTATAGAGTGGACTTCCAACATTTTACCAAACAAATACAATAGAAGACGATATGTTTTAAATAATTATCACTGTATTACGTAAGATTACCATTATATTAAATAAACATATATTAACCATGCACTAGATAAGAATGCAGTTCTAGGTAAGCTCTGCAGATAGGGCTTAGCCAACAGGCTAACAGGATCCTCCAATAACATTCCGAGTTAGGATTAAAGTTGAAATATTAATTGAAAAACTGTAAAATTACTATAAGCAAAAAGTGTTTAGGCCTACCACACATAGCACTAAACCTAGTGTAGTAAAGTGAATGTACACAATCATTAGCTTGGTGCTAACCTAATACAGCAAATTCCATAGCATTATCATAATAATGTGAACGGGATAAAGGCCTCGTAGTTTCCGTTCTGTTAAATCTGGTCTTTTTTAAAAAATATAAACAACACTGACAGTCTTGTAGAGTGGATTTCAAACATTTTACCAAATAAATAAAATAAATAGTTACCATTCTGTGTGATGACGGAGTGAATGAGATGTGGGAGCAGGTAGCGCAGTAAAGGACTGATATCATAGGATGCTGCTATGGTCTGCAGGGAGGGCACCAAAGAGGGCACCGCACAGAGGTACCCAAACGGCCTGGGGAGGAAAGAGCCAATCGAAACTCGAACTAACACTGATAAAGCAAGAAAACTGTCTGATAATAAACATGTAATAACTGTCCATATATCACTACAACATGATGGGTTTCACCACCTCAGATACCGGAAAGAGGAAAAAAGTCTCAGAAACTCACTTTGGTCCGACGACTCCTTCCTTCTGGTTCTGTAGGAGGACGATCAGGCACGACAGGCCCTCAGAGGTCAGCGCTGGACCTCTGCCCAACGACCTGCTCACCTGGATAGCCAGCGTGTTCACCAGTTCTGCTTGCATCACCACCTTCACCGCCAGCTGAGACACGATCATGTAGGTGGCAGCTTTATAGTCCACCAGCTCTGATTTCAGACCCTGTGAAAATGCAGGCCACTACGGTCATCCTGAACGTTTCATCACTGACCGTTCAGTCTTTGAGATGTAAGCAAAGTCATTCAGAACGGTTTACTTAAAATTTCTTTATAGTGGTGGTGAATGGAACCAGGAGTCACCATGTCTAATGATAAATATGTAATAACTTTCTGTGAGGGAGCTTTTAGAGGTGGACGTCTGGTTCCTATCACCACCACTGTGAACAATTCTGACTCTGCATTTCTTCCAAACCACTGACTTTGTTTACTTTATAACCTTTTAATTCTGCAGAAATCTTCCAGAATTACGCCATGTGTTTCAATTTGAGCAGATCTGGCAAGAGATCTGACCCAATTTTAAAGAGACCACATCCTGTATTTTTCTTGTATTTTCCTCCACTTATGTTGTTTGTATGATTATGTCACCAAAACAGTCACAATCTACTTTTACATGACATGATTTTGGAATATGCTCTATTCTGATTGGCTGCCCCGTTTTAGTCTTCATTCAAAAAAGAAGTGAAATCTGTGACACTCCTTATGACCTCAATGAGTGTGTTTATATGCACTCAATAATCCAATCATAATCGCATTTCTGCAGTTATCTGATTATTCAAATGGTCAAGTAAACAGCACACTCCGATTTCTTCGATCGGATTAAGGTCTAGAAATCCGATTAGGTCTAGAAATCTGATAAAGAGAGCTGGAAACCAAATACATGCTTGACGAAGTGAAGGATTTAAATATTCTTCAACTTCTAGATGACGTATGTTCATATTTCCAGGTAAAGTGGTGCGATGTTTTTTTAAATCCACCATATGAAGTTTGAGTTTTACATTACATTTACGTCACGTCTTCTTCTGTGAGTTTATTGGCCAGTTGCAAAGCAGAAATCTGATTACTGTCTGACTCATGTAAACACATTGATCGGATTACTGACAAAATCTGATTTTCTGCAGTTATCGGATTATGGGTGGGTGGGGCTAAACTACTATAGGCTAAATAAGTGGATACATACAAAAGCATTGATTTTCATAAAAACAACTAATGGAAAACAGACTTTTTGGATATTGGACGGGGGATCCAACAGGGGAAGTTCACACAGCACATTAAACTCATTTCAAGTTAAAGAAAACATCTGTTTTCAGTGATGTTGTCTTTCTGAAGGATTCTTCGGATCAGGTCTTACCAGTTGCACATATGGGAGCAGTTTGGCTACAATGGAATCAGTGACCTTCTCCACGGCCTCCAAAGCGGGAACGATGGCTGCCGCGTAGAAAGAAAAAATGACTCGCAGCTGCGCACAGCGTCCATCATGGACGAACCCCGAATAGGCCTGTGAGAACATCAACACCGTTAATCAGTTTTCAACACGTCAGCCACAATCGCAAGTAAAGAGAATCCAGGTAAAGATGGTTTACCTTCACTGACTTTGTCACCATGGTGCAGATGAAGTCCATGAAGCCCAGATCTTTATAGCAGTGAGTGAGTAAAGTGCCTCTGGCCAAAGGAACTCCAGGTTTCTATAGAGAGATTACAGATCACTGTGAAGTGGCACCATCTAGCGGCAAAGTGCCCAGTGAGTGGAAGCACAAGGTAGGTGTTTCTAATAAAGTGGCCAGTAAGTGGAAGCACAAGGCAGGTGTTTCTAATAAACTGGCCAGTGAGTGGAAGCACAAGGTGGGTGTTTCTAATAAAGTGGCCAGTGAGTGGAAGTACAAGGTAGGCGTTTCTAATAAACTGGCCAGTGAGTGGAAGTACAAGGTAGGTGTTTCTAATAAACTGGCCAGTGAGTGGAAGCACAAGGCAGGTGTTTCTAATAAACTGGCCAGCGAGTGGAAGCACAAGGTAGGTGTTTCTAATAAAGTGGCCAGTGAGTGGAAGCACAAGGTGGGCGTTTCTAATAAACTGGCCAGTGAGTGGAAGCACAAGGCAGGTGTTTCTAATAAACTGGCCAGTGAGTGGAAGCACAAGGCAGGTGTTTCTAATAAACTGGCCAGTGAGTGGAAGCACAAGGTAGGCGTTTCTAATAAACTGGCCAGTGAGTGGAAGCACAAGGTAGGCGTTTCTAATAAAGTGGCCAGTAAGTGGAAGCACAAGGCAGGTGTTTCTAATAAAGTGGCCAGTGAGTGGAAGCACAAGGTGGGTGTTTCTAATAAAGTGGCCAGTGAGTGGAAGTACAAGGTAGGCGTTTCTAATAAACTGGCCAGTGAGTGGAAGTACAAGGTAGGTGTTTCTAATAAACTGGCCAGTGAGTGGAAGCACAAGGCAGGTGTTTCTAATAAACTGGCCAGCGAGTGGAAGCACAAGGTAGGTGTTTCTAATAAAGTGGCCAGTGAGTGGAAGCACAAGGCGGGCGTTTCTAATAAACTGGCCAGTGAGTGGAAGCACAAGGCAGGTGTTTCTAATAAACTGGCCAGTGAGTGGAAGCACAAGGCAGGTGTTTCTAATAAACTGGCCAGTGAGTGGAAGCACAAGGCAGGTGTTTCTAATAAACTGGCCAGTGAGTGGAAGCACAAGGCAGGTGTTTCTAATAAACTGGCCAGTGAGTGGAAGCACAAGGTAGGCGTTTCTAATAAACTGGCCAGTGAGTGGAAGCACAAGGTAGGCGTTTCTAATAAACTGGCCAGTGAGTGGAAGCACAAGGTAGGCATTTCTAATAAAGTGGCCAGTGAGTGGAAGCACAAGGTAGGCGTTTCTAATAAAGTGGCCAGTGAGTGGAAGCACAAGGTAGGTGTTTCTAATAAAGCGGCCAGTGAGTGCACATAGATACAGAAACAATTATACTGTGGAGGAAAAAAATAATTTGAAAATGACCTAAAAAAAACAGATTTAAAGCTTCTGAATTCCCTGGATAACAAAAGTGTTCACCTGAAGTCCATGCAGCCAATGCCATCTGTGGGTGGGGTCGTCAATCTTCAAAAGCTGAATTACTCTCACAAACAGTTTGGTGTCATGATACGGTAACACACAGGCAATCAGGCTATCCTGGTTATACAAGTGAATGTGGAACCTGAAATACAACCAGAACAGTAACACATAAATACAAATACATCATATTCAATTGAGACTGTGCAGTACGACCATAAATAAATCCAATACAATTATGTCATCCTTAGTACTGATAAAACTGTATTGATACACAGAGCACCAAGAATTTGTTTTATTGAAGATTAATAGATTAAAAGCATTAGTTAATTAATAAAGTCACTGTTTCTGCCATTGTTCCGATTCCCTGTCCAGGCAGGAACACTACAGCTATACCAATAAGAGGACATACATGCACACATACTGACTGTTATACCAAGAGACCTTGTTCAAGACTTCTAACAATACATTCAGATCTCTCTGAATGAGAGCAACTTATAAATATGTAATATATAATTAGTGGAACAAAGTGTAAACTTATTATTTATTAGAGTTTTATTACACAAAGAAAGTTTTATTTTGAATGTAAAAATGCACAATATATCACAATATGACACATTACAATAGTTAAACAAATATTTAGAGCTTTACTATGTAAGATTTGGGGATTTGGAGACCTCTCTGGTGGAAATGTGTAACTGCAACATGCAGAACATGTCATTTGTAATCTGAGTTCAAACCTTTGCTTATAACTCTACACCCAGTTACCCAGTTATGAAGCTGCCATGTAACCGTCCACTAAGAGAAGAAGACATGTTCTAGACGGTCTACCTGTGTATGAGCCACTCCAGACACTTCAGAGCCGGTTTGAGCAGGAAGTAGGGGGACAGGCGGGTGAGGAAGAGGGAGATGCTCTTGTCCAGCTTCTGGTTGACCTCTTTGGACTGCACACCTCGCTCCAGGCGTACAGACGCCTCGCTGAAGAGCGTCTCCTGGAACTCCGCAAATGCTGGTTCGATCCCCAACAGCTCCTCCAGCCCCGTACAGCCTGAGCAACAGAGACGAGATCAAACACTTCACTGAAAAACTCACTGCAGAGTGAAATACGACCCAGTCTACAGACTTAAGACAAGAAATTTAGCATGTGAGGAAGAAAAGTAGGATACGGTCATGTTTTAAACTGAGTGAAAGTCAGTGGGTTAAGATTAACCTACTTAGAAAGAAAACACTTCTGGCTTTAAACCAGAGGGCCAAAGTCTGGGCCTGGAGGAATAAAGTCCACAACAGTTTGACAACTTCAAGCTCACATGGTTCAACTCACCAGTTAATGGCCAGATTTAATGTATTTAAAAGGGAAATCACCAAACTGTGCTGGACTCTGGCCCTCCATTCAGCCCTGGATGACTGCAATCATCATGAACCCCAAAAGCCAAACACACTGAATATTACGGGCGTCACAATATTGATGTTAATATTGATTCTTTTCGATTTGGGGTTGTGATACAATCCACTGCATATCGGAGACAGTAATATCCCCTCTCACACTCATTTCAGCCACATTTTACACAGAAACACAAGGTCTGATTGTAAATTAACTTGTAATGCTTCAATGAATATTAAGATGAAACCGTAGAATTTATATTTACTACGTTTTTTCCTTCTTCCGTAAAGTTGTAATTTTAGAGATACAAGGTTTTTGATATATATATATATATATATATATATATATATATATATATACACGCACACACACACACACACACATACATACGTAGACACACACACACACATACAAAAAAAGGGAATCACCAAAAAATTAACAAATTAAAAATTGTTTTAGCATGTCTTTTCTGATTCTGTATCTAAAATGTTCTGTATCGTGATGCCCAAATGACAATCCATATCATATCATGAAATCTGCATAGCGTTACACCTGTGTTGAATACAGACGCATGGTTGTTTTTGCCACTGCATTCAGGGAATCAGATATTTCACTGATCTTAAGTTTGTGAGTGTGTGAGAGGCTGTAATGCGCTGATTCCGTAAAGCGTGAATGTGTTGCTCCTCTGTTACCGAGTGCGTAGAAGTTGTCTTTGTCCAAAGTGGCCGCATGTTTCGGGTCAAACAGGAGCGAGACGGTCTCCCTCCGTGTGAGCACTTCTGGAGCATTCTGGGGCAGCGCGAGCCGCTTCAGCTGATGGGCTAACGAAGTCATATTCACAACCTGCGGAGAGAGAGAGAGACAGAGAGGAGAACACAGTTTGAATTGGGGTGGGGAGAAAAAAATGTTGATATAATGACATATTTTTGGGGGGTATAAGCATGGAAATATTTCTAAACATGCAAATGTATACCTCACAGTTCTGCTCTGAAAACAGTGAAATGGACAAAGCTTAACGAGAGGAAGTTTCAGAGGCGCAACACTACTTCACATCACAACTCTATACACGCCTTAAATGTTTTATGATAATATCTTATTGTGGCGTCTGAGGTCTCCATAGAGAATCACACTGATTTTTTCAAAACGTCTGCAGAATGAAATCACTATGACGTAAAGAGAGGTTGGGTGTGAAATGGTTAATTGTAAAGAAACGTAATGGTTGGGATTCCTAAATGACTTGGATGTCTTTACAGTGGTGCTGAATGGAACCAGGGGTCACCATATCCACAACACAAATATAGCCATTTTATTCACTATCCAAAACAGGTGGAATACGCCTATAACACAGTTTTATTGTGCCAACGATAGCGACAGCGATCTGTCAACACAAAGGGCAATTCCACCATTTTTTTTCAAAATTTCTTTGCATGGAAGTCAACTGTTAAGACGTAAACAGAGTCATTCAGAGTGGTTGTGAAACGCTTTGTTCTAGAGAAACTTACAGAGTCAGAACTGTTCACAGTGGTGGTGATAGGAACCAGACGTCCACCTCTAAAAGCTCCCTCACAGAAAGTTACTACGTGAATACGCAACCTGATGTCTAAGATATTGTTAGTTCTGAGATAAACATCTGGGCTACAGTGTACTATCTCAAATCTATTCATGGTAGAGAGATACATGTACAGTGTTACAAGGCATCCCACAAGAGGCCCCCTTCCGCTCTGTTTTATCATCACCAACATTACATATATAAACTCAGAAGACACGTGTAGGTTCTCTGGTGGTTTTGGATGGTAAGTAAAATGTCTATATTTGTGTTGTAGTCATGGCAACCCCTGCTTCCCATCACCACCACTGTAAAGAAACCTGAGTCTCTACAATGAACCAATTCACACCCAACCACTCTGAATGACTCTGTTTACATCTCAACCACTGAATTAGGCAGAAAATTTGAAAAATCGGTGGAACTCCCCTTTAAAGTTTTCTTCCTCCCAGTTACAGGCCAATCAAAATCATCATGACCCTGTCAACCCTTTCCTTTACACGAGTCACTAAACCCTTTCACAGCTGATACTCATAGCTGTTTAACTTGTTCTGTCTAACATGCAGACATATAAACAAAATCACATCAGAAGAGCGACTAAAGTGTCAACAGACTGTTTAACAGCGTCTGTTTTAGCCACGAGGCTGAACCTGTCTTTATTCTAACTGACCGTTCCACCTTAAATTTGTAAGGTGGAACGGAGAATTATGAAAACAAACTACTGTCAGAACATCCTTCACCCCAAACGTGTATGTTTATCTTACCGTGTGGACTAAAGCAGGCGTTAGGGGCGTCTATGGAGCTCAGACAGAGGAACACACAGCTTATAAACCTTTATAAAACTCTAAAACAGCTTCTCAACGTGTCCGAACCCCCCTCCGCTCCATGTGCTGCTCACACCGCCTCCGCTTCTGTGCTCCTGCAGTCTGTGCAGTCGGTTCACACAGTGTGAACTCCGCTGCCCCTAGCGGAGCGGAGGAGCGCTGCACATGCGGACACTCTCAACAAGTGGTGCAGCTGTAAGAACAACCATAACTCTAACTTAATTAAAGGAAGAGAACTTTATAATATTACAGAACTATTTACACACAGAAATATGTATGATATTATATCATGCAGGATATTATATATTATAACAATCAATGTCCAGTAAAAGCCTACATTATCCCTTTTCCTGTTATTTGACCATGTAAACTTTAATTGTAGCCTTTTTTGATGCTGGCTGTTCTAGAGAGTTCATAGTGGTGGTGATAGGAACCAAATGTCCACCTCTAAAAGCTCCCTCACAGAAAGTTACTGAAGAAAATGGTTATGAATTCACTGCCTTATGTCTGAGACGTTGTTTTATGATAGTTTTGTGACAAAGTTTTGGCTTAAAATGTATTTTTTAATACATACAAACACGTGGAGAGCAGAGGGGTGTAGAGAGGCAAAATAGTCCCCAAAGAAAACAATGTTTTTCAGATTTTCCACTATTTTACCGTCGTCAACATTCAATATATAAACTAGGAAGACTTGTGTGGGTACGCTGGTGGATTTGGATTGTAAATAAAACGGCTGTATTTGTGCTGTAGTCATGGCGACGTCTGGTTCCATTCACCGCCACTGTGAACCGAGAAATCTGAGTCTGTAAGTCGCTCTACCGTGAACCGCTTCCCTTTAAAACAGCGTGGCTTTGTTTGCAGCTCAACGACTGAATTTTGCGTAAATTTTGAAAAAACAGTGTAGTTCCCCTTTAATTCAGCGCCGCGTGCTCTTGCAGGAAGCCGGCGCGCGCTAGGACCCAGCGGCGGCGCGCGAGCCTCCTCTTGTCCGTTGCGCGAGCGCGGCGCAGATCCGCAGAGCAGAGAGGATGAGGATGAGGGTGAGGGGAGGCGCGCGGGATTAACGGTGGGCACGCGTTGCGCGCGGTCAGTCAGGGCTTGGGTTCGCGCGGCGATGCTCGGAAGGCCATGATGAAGACCGACTCCTCCTCGTCGTCCTCCTCGAGGGCCGCGCTGCCCTCGCTGCATCCGCACGATGCCGGGAGCGGCCGCGCCTACGGCTCCAACGTGCACCGCATCAAGAGCCTCTTCATGCAGATGGGCGCGAGCCCGGACCCCCCCGCGGCGCCCAGAGCCGCGCGCGCCCCGCTGCCCCGCGCCGGCAGCCTGAACGAGCGCGTGGACCATGGTGCTCTGCTGAAGCTCGGCGCGGAGGGCGCGAGCTCCATGGGCAGCATCACCTCCTCCATCAGCACCTCCTCCATCAGCAGCATCACCTCCTCCATCAGCACCTCCTCCAAGCTGCAGGAGACCAGGAGGATCTTTGAGCGGCAGCAGGAGGAGGAGGAGGAGGAGGAGGAGGAGGGCGCCGCCAGCCGGAGCGCGCTAAAGAAGGAGCGGACCGCCGGCCTCCAGCACGGGCGTCTGGACGTGGTGGCCCGTTTCAATGGCAGCACTGAGTCACTGGACGGGCCGGACGCGGCCGAGGCCGTGTCGCCCACGGTCAGCCAGCTCAGCGCCGTGTTCGAGCGGGCGGCCGAGCTGCGCTCCAACCTGCACCGCCTGTCCTGCATCAGCACGGGCAGAGCACGACCCGCCCCAGCGCAGGAGCACAGGGGCCCCCGCAGGGGCCGAGAGGCAGAGGGCACTGCCGATGACCTGAAAGAGAACAGGGAGGCAGAGCGGCAGGCCGAGTCTTTAAGGGAAACCAACGGCGAGGCCTCGGAGACGGACCCTGGGGCCGCTGGGGCAGAGGTCAGCGGGGCGAGCCGGGCCAGTTGCTCCGTGGGGGTCAGTAAGGAGGACGATGGGGATGATGATGCCACCCTGAAGGAGGATTCTTCAACAGGGGCCACCCTGGTGGAGGGCAGCACGTACAGTGCTGCGGGGGAGGACTCCGGAGGCAGTCAGCTGGGGGACGAAGACGACGAAGAAGAGGAGGCCTACGAGCCCGAAGCGACCTGCCTGGAGGTCCCAGGGCTTCCTGTAGAAGAGGAGCCACCGCCGAGCCGCAAAATCCGCTTCAGCACCGCGCCGATTAAGGTGGGTCACGCCGGCAGTAGCCTGAACCTCAGTAGGCGGTTTCTGGCCATGTTGAGCAACGAAACACCCCTCAGAGTGTGGCCTGTGAACCCACAATGAGGCTCAGCCACTCTGAGAGGGAGCGGCTGGGCCGTGGAGCGGGAGACATGTTGTTGTGGTCAGTAAGAGAGTGTAGGACAGGGCAGGGCTGGGCGATGTGGCAAAAATATTATATTACGATACTTCAAGACGTTTTCACAAAACACGATATGCGTCATGATACTTAGTTTTTCTGAGATTTAATTAATTGGCACAGACAAAATAGAACCTGTATTGCCACATTGAAAAATGCTATAATAATAATAATAATAATAATACTAATACTAATAATACTAAATCCAGTTAAAGAGATCTAATTAAGCCCCTAGGACAAGGATAATCAAGTAGTTCTCACAAAGCAAACGTAGCTGTCATAAGAAAACATACTGTCTTCATAACTGAACAGTAACTCTGTAAAAATGTTTTTTTGTACCATTAAATATTTAGAATCACTGTTTTCAGTCAAACTAATTGGCGAAAACCTGTAAAAACCGAAGAAACGTAGCTTCCAGAATGATGACCAGAGCTGAGTCCATCATGATTGAGAAAGATGTACATTGAGAATTAAGTTATAATAAAATTAATATCCAGCGTGCCTCATCTTTGAAAAGTGGTGATCAAATCTCAAGGCCGATCTTATCAAGAAATGGCCCCAAATGGATCATTACAGTACAGTATTATTTGTCAGGTAATAACATCCACAACAACTGAAATATTGAACAAAACATCTGAAAATACCTTCTGTTGTCTAAGTCACAGTATTTAAACCTAAACTACTGAAGTTATTACTGAATAGTGAACTTAAAACCTGTCCTAGCATGTTAGCTAGCAAAATGAGCTAACTAGCTAAACATCTCAGAAGTGTGTTAAGAAGAAAACTGACACCACAGAATCACAGGTTTGTTGCAGCACTGACTTGACAAGCCATCTCTTTGGAAATCATCTCTTTATTTAAGGCCCACACTGAAGCCCAGACAGCGAGCGTATATCGGTCTGCTGGTTTGAAAAGGTCGGCACCCCACTGACTGTTTGCCACTGCTGGTCCCCCCTTGGACCGCCCAGCTTATAGTCCTGCATACAAGCTCTAGCTAGTTTTTAATCTCCTCGAACAGATTTTAAACGCACAGAGACTTTTATTTTAGAAAATAAACGTACACAAATTTTACAAACAACCAACAGGCCTAATCATGACGAGGCCTGGTGTAAAATGGTTCTATAGAAAATGTTGTTGCTGACACTGAGCTGGATTAAAATGATTTACTAGTCTAATTTACAAAGTATAACTAAAGAAAAGAAGGAAAGAAAGATCAGTAAACTGGACTGTGAGTGGAAAACGAGCGATGATAAGTGGACTTTTGTCCATTACTCTGCTTAACCGCCAGTGGGCCGCCCGGAAAACGCTGAGCAAAACGCCAGTGGGCCGCCAGCTTTGCCATTAGCGGGCCGACAGTGGACCACTGTGCTCTTGCTATCAGGGAAGCAATAGCCTATCGCTAACATAGCTAACGTAGCCTCTTCATTGTGCTGCTGTTGAGTGATAAAACACTCTTTTCTAAATTAGATAGTGCTAGAAACCCCCCTGTATGTGCCTATACTATTCAGTGGATCTTGATAGTGCTGTGTTTAGCGCTTTTCTATAGATCCTACTTAATTGAAAAGAACTGAAAAATGTATAAGTTTGGGGATTGGAGCTGGAGGAAACTCGCTAATGGGCTGGATTTGGCCCATCTCAGACAGAAAATGGACTATATTGAAAATAGATTATAATATATGTACTTTTATCCTGTATTATGTGATGTGTTGACAACAGATTCCAATAAACTCTCATATGGAATGGGTCGCTAATTGGCGATCCCTGGCGCAGGCCTTTCAGTGGCCTACAAACTGACTGTCACTAATCACTTATTTAATGCTAGGTGCTGTGGTAGATGGCTGTCTTGGGACCGATGTGTGTGCGTGAGACATTAGTCCACTGTTCAGTGTGTGTTTTGTGAATGCACTGGTGTCTCCGATGGTTCACGGTGCAGAATGGACATCATCAGTGAGGCCGTAGAGTCCTGCAGCAGCTTTCTCTCTGTCTCTGAGCTCTGGCTAAAGCAGCTTAGCCTAACGCAGGTCCCTTTTCAGCACACTTTGCCTTCGCCAACTTCCACTCACCACTCAGAAACACGTCACACCTGCTTTAGACAAGTGGTCACTCACAGTAGAAGACTCATCCTCGGCTAGGTTAGCCTAACAGCAGCGTCCTAACATCAAACGAAATGTAGTAAATGTAGTATTAGCTTAAGGATGGCTATGCTGGAAACGTTAAATGCGCGTGCCAAAGCATAAACAAACCACCAACCTATTAGAAAGTAGCTGAATAACATGACTTAAATAGCTTTAAATAGCATTAGCATTATACAAGGTTATATATTTGTATCTGCTAACCCTGCTAACCCTGCCCAGCATGAATTCCTGCTGGTCTTGTTTATGCTGGTGTGGTGCTGGTTCATGCTGGTTGACCAGTATACCAGCATCCAAAACACAACATATGCTGTTTTTGTTGGTGACCAGCACATTAACTTTCATTGCTGCTCTCTGCTTCCATGTTGAAGTGGAATTGCAGGGCAGTGCAACACATCGAAACTAGAAACGGGGCGTCGCATCGCACCTCATCGCTCTTTGGGCCTCACAGCTGGTGCAGACAGCTTCACTGATCGTAAAAGGAGCGTTTTGGTTGTTGCTGCTTGCGTCACTTGCTGTTTGGGCACAGTGTAAGGCTGGCTTTACCTGGTGAAGCTTAAATGAGACTTTAGCTGCTTGAAGCCTGCATGAAACCGTGAGTTGTATAGTGTAAAACGTCCTGCAACTCATCTGAAACTCAGCCACAACTGTTGCAAGCAAACAAGTTTCATGAAGCAGCCAATCAAAATGGCGATAACGCATCACACAATCATATCAAATGCCACACTTTTAAACAGATCAGTTGACCCCGACTGACTCAAGATTGGTAGCTGTTCGTTTTGTTGCTTTCCTCAGCCACAACAACAAACGCGACTTTCTCGAAGTGAGCGTTTCTGAAATTAGCTGCGTTAACTAGCCAGCTAATGCTAACAGCTGTTTAGCTGCTTGTTCATAGTTTGTTCTTGGGTCATTCTACAGAAACGTCCACTTTTCTATCTGTCCGTAGGAGTCACTGGTGTTACCGATCCTCATTGGTGTTAGACATAAGAAACAGAGACATTTTAATGAAAAATACATTTTACAAAATGGCTGCTGCAGAGCATCAAACCCCATGTTGTCAATCATGGAAGATCCACTAAAATATGTAATTTAATCCATTTGTATTCTAATTTTTAACAATTACCTAAGAATAAAGTCGGTCACACCAGTGACTTCAGCTAAAAGCTTCATATGAAATCATGAGCTAAATGAGAAAATCTCTGATAACTGAAAGACACCATGTGCTTTTCTTCATAGATCCTCAGAAAACAGGTAAAAGGAAATAAAGTCATAATGTCATCAGTGTGATTTTTATTTAAAAATAAGAGATTTTTTGTTACACAGTATCACCAGTGACACGACTCCTGGGGAACTTTCATTTTATATGAATTTATAGGAATTCTATATGATTGATTTAAAAACCAATATTGCTAAATTGATGGACCAAGAAGGTGTAGCTGTTAAAATAACTTACTGTTTTTTAAAAAAATATAAATAAATAGTAACCGTAACATGTGAATTGCTTCGTGTAACTGAGTTGTCAAGTTGTATAGAAATTATGTTGCTGACTGCATGAAAGTTTCACCGTGTGAAGCCAGCTTTAGTGAGCTAAATGGCTAACTGGCTAACCATGCAAATTTTGTGATGCAGAACTTAAGATTTCTGAGTATAACATAATATTTGTGAATATATGCTTTGTCTGGCAGTAAACTTTGCCTTAGTGGTGTAATGTCTTTATTTTGTAGTTGTTTTATGTTGTAGAGAAAGGACAGCGCTTCCCTAGAAACAGAGAGAAATTAACCGTTGTAAAAAGTGTTAATTAATACTCAAACAGCACGTGAGGTTGTGGTCAGTTTAATCTGGTGTCCATTTTAAGAAAACAATATTGCTTTCAAAAAAAAAGAATTTCCGCTCTTATACTCTTATTTTTTCTTATTTAGCACATTAGATATAGTTAGTTACAGGGCCCATATTTTGGAACATTTTCCTCACTTTTTTAAAATAAAAGTTACCAAGGTTTCAGAATATACCATTTTCTCTCCAGTCCATACAGTCCATGTATGAAAACTAAGCTTCAAAAACAGCCCAATTCAAATTCACTGTATTTGTGATGTCACAGAAAACAACTCATACCTGCGACCATTCAGCCTACACCAGGGGTCGGCAACCCAAATGTTAAGAAGAGCCTTTTTGTCCGTTCAGTAAAAATCAAACCACCTTGAGAGCCACAACATTTTACGTCCATTTTACCGTCTTGCCTGTAAATGTGTCTCAGTATGTGCTGATGTGATAATATAGGCTAAAAATATAATATAAACAAAAACACAGACTTACTTTGCTCTGCTTTAAGCTTTATCTCAGCTATAGCCACTTTTCTCGCATCTCCGGCAGGAAACTTTTCCACAAAAGTAGAATCGTTTCTTCTAAAAAGTCTTTCAACGTTCGACTTTTTACGAGGCTGAAGTCGCTTCTCATTCACCAGCTTCTTGTTCGAATTTTCCCGTTCCACCTTAAATGGTGCCTGAGGCACGAGAACTGCTGCACTATTTAAAGTAGAACGGTAGAATTCGAACAAGAAACTGACTTCAGCTTTGCGACTTTTTAGTGTTTGGCAGTTTCTCATTGTAGATTAAACGTATCCGGAAACCAGCTGGAGTGATTATAAATGCAAATAAGTCCATTCGTCTCCAAATTATCGATGTTCGTCTTAAATCTCT